CAGTTTAAAGTACTATTGGCAACCATACTTTATGCTGCGTATCGTAAAGGCTTTAGTTAGCTAGTCGAATTGCCACTTCTGGTTGCAAAGTCTAGAAAGATTTTCACAGGGCTTAACTGTTGTAGAATCTGTGTCAGGACCAAAATTACCTAGCACTATGCCAGTATTTTTTTAAAAAAGAAACATCTGTTGAATGTAATGAAGAAAATGCTAGACAGTCTTGGGGCCACCAAAGGACTCCACTCCACACTACTATTTCTTCCCCTTAAGTATCGGGGTGGGAAGAGGCAGGGCTGGGGTAGAGCAGAGGTGGGGCACGGGCTGGAGCAGCACACAGCTGTGCAGGGCACCAGGAAATTTGCTGCGTACTTTGCATATGGGTAGTGACGGCCCAAGTTAGAAGAGACCTCAGGAGGCCATCTACTCCAATCCCCTGCTCAAAGCAGGACCAACACCAACTAAATCATCCCAGCCAGGGAAAGGTGTTGTGCTCCCCATCAGGAAATCAGTCTCCTGCGTGAAAGGCAGGAATACTCACCACTATACTAACGAGGAAGTTGTATGGTCCCACCCTAGCTCAGAGAATTTGTCTTCCAGTTACTCTGCAGTTTGAGACTGAAGAATAGAACTCTATACTTTGGAAAGTATTTTACCCTTAAAGCCTGAAAGTTCAGGTTCTATGCAGATGGAATGTGGAAAGGTAAAATTCACCACCCGAAACCACAACCAGGGTCTGAGATTGCTGCTACGCAGCAACTCTCCCAGCTGCTATGCAGCAACCCTCCCAGCTGCTATGCTAGTCTTTGCACAGTAAAAGCAGCTGCAGCCCTAAGAACTAGTTGAACAGGGCACTGGGGTCACTGGATCTGCACGATCACAGATCCAGTCCCTCAGTACTGTCCTGTGCTGGCCTTGCACAGGTTAGTATGGAGACTAGTTTTGTGATATGTGAGACATGTGTAGGCCCCCCTGCATGGCTGCTTCACCAGCCAATCCCTAGCACAACCCCTACAAGAGGGTAAGTGGTGTGGAGGGCCAACACAAGACCCTCTAGTCTAAACTAACAGTTAATTTCACTTAAGTGGAAATACAATAAGACCTCCATGTGTAGGCCCTAAGATTTAACAGCCCAAATAAATTTAAGTAAAAAGATTTCAGTTATCACAGGAGCCAAGTACAGCTGTAATGGTTAAAGAGACTTTATGTGTAACCTTTTACATTTTCAGAAATGCTTGCTGAACACATTACAAGATGACACGTGAGTATATTTGTTTTCCTTTTGATATACAGTGGAATACCAAACTACCTATGATTTTAATAAAGCTGTGAAATCTCTAGGTCTGGGAGTTCTCATTTCACCATCACAATAATTAAGAATCTTGGCACAATTTACTTCCTTTCAGATAAAAAATCATAATTATTTAAAATATGTGCTGATTCTCATATATTAGCAAAAATAAATAATATTCTAAAAAATTGAGAATATGGGGAGGGGGTCAATTATGCAAAAAAGGTTGTTGTGCCCACAATGTCCTACAATTAATTTTAAAAAAAATATGTTGAGCAAATAACTAAATGCGAAACAATGAGTATATACTAGAAAATACAGAACAGGGAGCATGCTCATACCATTGACTTCCATTTGAGAACATATGACAGCTGTGTGAATGTTGTCAAAACAGAAAACTTTAAAAATTACGACAATGTGGAATATACGTGTGACTATGAGAGTTGGCGTGACAGCCCGATTATAAATTACATATTAATAATACTTTACATTCAGGAACTGCCTTTCATCTGATGATCTCAATGTTCCTTGCAAGATGAGTAGTTACTAATATCCCTATTTACACACGGGAATAGTGAAGCACACAAAGGTTACGTGAACAGCCTACAGTCACGTACAAAGTTAAGTATCACTATAATTGGAGAATTCAAGAGTTCTGACTCCCAGACTCCAACACTTACCCCTGGCCAACACTCTTTTAATAATAAGTCTCACCTCACAGCCATTACTATATTTGGCACTTGGGCAGAATCCTCTGGCATAATGCTGTCCACACTCACTCACCTAAAAAGAAAAGGAGGACTTGTGGCACCTTAGAGACTAACCAATTTATTTGAGCATAAGCTTTCGTGAGCTACAGCTCACTTCATTGGATGCATACTGTGGAAACTGCAGAAGACATTATATACACAGAGACCATGAAACAATACCTCCTCCCACCCCACTCTCCTGCTGGTAATAGCTTATCTAAAGTGATCACTCTCCTTACAATGTGTATGATAATCAAGTTGGGCCATTTCCAGCACAAATGAGTTTGTGGGGGGGGGGGGCGGAGGGTGAGAAAACCTGGATTTGTGCTGGAAATGGCCCAAATTGATTATCATACACATTGTAAGGAGAGTGATCACTTTAGATAAGTTATTACCAGCAGGAGAGTGGGGTGGGAGGAGGTATTGTTTCATGGTCTCTGTGTATATAATGTCTTCTGCAGTTTCCACAGTATGCATCCGATGAAGTGAGCTGTAGCTCACGAAAGCTTATGCTCAAATAAATTGGTTAGTCTCTAAGGTGCCACAAGTACTCCTTTTCTTTTTGCGAATACAGACTAACACGTCTGTTACTCTGAAACCTGCTATAATTCTCGACATCTGATTTGGGTCCATTTATTCTTTTACATAGAGACTGTCCAGTTTGGCCAATGTACATGGCAGAAGGGCATTGCTTGCACATGATGGCATATATCACATTGATAGATGTGCAGGTGAACGAGCCTCTGATAGTGTGGTTGATGTTATTAGGCCCTGTGATGGTGTCCCCTGAATAGATATGTGGGCACAGTTGGCAATGGGCTTTGTTGCAAGGATAGGTTCCTGGGTTAGTGGTTCTGTTGTGTGGTATGTAGTTGCTGGTGAGTATTTGCTTCAGGTTGGGGGGCTGTCTGTAGGCAAGGACTGGCCTATCTCCCAAGATTTGTGAGAGTGATGGGTCGTCCTTCAGGATAGGTTGTAGATCCTTGATAATGCGTTGGAGAGGTTTTAGTTGGGGGCTGAAGGTGATGGCTAGTGGCGTTCTGTTATTTTCTTTGTTAGGCCTGTCCCGTAGTAGGTGACTTCTGGGTACTCTTCTGGCGCTGTCAATCTGTTTCTTCACTTCAGCAGGTGGGTATTGTAGTTGTAAGAATGCTTGATCGAGGTCTTGTAGGTGTTTGTCTCTGTCTGAGGGGTTGGAGCAAATGCGGTTGTATCGTAGAGCTTGGCTGTAGACGATGGCTCATGTGGTGTGGTCAGGGTGAAAGCTGGAGGCATGTAGGTAGGATTACCGGTCAGTAGGTTTCCGGTATAGCGTGGTGTTTATGTGACCATCGCTTATTAGCACCGTAGTGTCCAGGAAGTGGATCTCTTGTGTGGACTGGTCCAGGCTGAGGTTGATGGTGGGATGGAAATTGTTGAAATCACGATGGAATTCCTCAAGGGCTTCTTTTCCATGGGTCCAGATGATGAAGATGTCATCAATGTAGCACAAGTAGAGTAGGGGCATCAAGGGACGAGAGCTGAGGAAGCATTGTTCTAAGTCAGCCATAAAAATGTTGGCATACTGTGGGGCCATGCAGGTTATGGGTGAGGACAAATAGTTATGGATGAGGACAAAGTCACAAAGTTCAGCCACCAGGTTTGCCGTGACATTATCAGGGATAGTGTTCCTGACGGCTTTGTCCTCACCCATAACTATTTCACATTTGGGGACAATGTATACCTTCAAATCAGCTGCACTGCTATGGGTACCCGCATGGCCCTCCCCACTGTTCCTCAGACATTCTTGTTAAACCCTGGATTTGTGCTGGAAATGGCCCACCTTGATTATCATACACATTGTAAGGAGAGTGATCACTTTAGATAAGCTATTACCAGTAGGAGAGTGGGGTGGGGGGGAGAGAAAACCTTTTGAAGTGGTAAACACCCATTTTTTCATGGTCTGTGTGTATAAAACACCCTCACTGCATTTTCCGCTTTATGCATCTGATGAAGTGAGCTGTAGGTCATGAAAGGTCATGCTCAAATAAATTGGTTAGTCTCTAAGGTGCCACAAGTACTCCTTTTCTTTTTGCGAATACAGACTAACAGGGCTGCTACTCTGAAACTCACTCACCTGAATCCAAGGCTCCACAACTACTGTCACAAGTATCAGCAGGGTTATTAATTCAAAACCTAACCACATATTGACAAGATGACAACTTTAAAAGAGCCATAATTTAGTGCACGGAAGCATTTATTTTTATTCATATTTATTTCCATGCTGTCTTCTTTATATTGGTGTTTTAGAGCTTTGACATTTAAAGCTCCCCCTACGATTTTCGCATTAAATACTTAGCTTATAGTTAGAACTTTTAAACTTGAAGGTGCCTTATAAAAGCTAAATAATTAATCCTCACCCCGTGCGGGGAAGCGAGTAAAAATTGTCTCCATTTTAAGATGTGGAAACTCAAACAGTGTGAAGTTGTGCAACAAGCCAAGATCCCATTGCACTACAGAATGTGTTGTCCTGGCTCCACAGCCTATCTCTGATGACGTCTGCCTCTCACACCACTTCAAAGGGGACCTGACACACGCTCTTTACAAGCATTAGATGCCTTCTTGAAACCAGCGAGTCAGGCACCTCCACTCCATTTAAACAATAAAGGCCACGCGCTTGGGACCAGCCAGGGACACTGCGCACGCGCCAGCCCTCCTCCCACAAGGACCGGCAGGCGCAGCGACGAAGAGACGGACGCGAGCGTGCGCGCCACCCGTGCCGTCCCCAGCGCACAGGGGCGCGCACCCTCCGCGCTCTCCCATCCCATAGCCCACCTCGCCTGACGCAGGCGCGCACCCTTTCTATTTTTATTGCGGTCTCACTCCAGTCCCATCGCGCAGGCGCACAAACCAGTTGCTGGTTGGTCGGAGAAGAAACAAGTGAGTCCTGCAGCACCCTGCCTCCCCCTTCCCCAGTACTGGCTTCTGGTCCCTACCGAGCCGGGGACCGCGCCTCCTGTGTGCGCATGCGCAGTTAGCGGGTCCACTGGCGGCCCCGGAAGGAAAATGTGTGGCCTGGGCAGCATGGCCAGCATGGCCAGCGGAGCGGCGGGCTCGGCCGCGGGGCCTGGGGACGCGGCGCGGGCCCCGGACCAGGCCCTGTTCCCGCCGGGATTCAGCGTATCGGAGATCAAGAACAAGCAGCGGCGCCATTTCATGTTCGTGCGCTGGAAGCAGCAGCAGAGGAAGGTGGGAGGCCTGGGGCTGCCTGCGGGGGTCCGCGCTCGGCCCGGCCGGAGGGCGTGTGGCGCTTGCTTGTATTGCAGCACGTGGGCCGGGACCCGCTGGGCTCGGTGCTGTAGCAACCGCCGGCCGGACAGCCCCTGCCCCGGAGAGCTCACACGCTAAGTATCAGACCCGACCGCTGCAGACACACAGGGCAGCACAGGAAACACTGTTTCAAAGGGAGAAGTGGGGGGGGAGCCTCTGTCACTGGGTGCATCGTTAAAATACTTCCCAGGAAATGGTTTTGGAGTTAAGGTCCTTCCTCTCTGAAAGGGCGGCGGATGGAGCCAGTGTAGAGAGGGGATTCCTGTGCGAAGGCCAGCAGAGTGACAGGCACATGCAGAGCTGCCTTTAACCCACTGTTCCCAGCTAACCAATCCGATATCTGTCTTATTCAGGATAAATTGGCAAATAAGAAAAAACGGAAAAAGGAGAGAGAAGCCCTTGGAGATAAGGTAAAAAAAATGTTATTTATAGGGTCCTGTGTGTTACTATTTGTGTCTGTAAAGCATTATGCATAGTATAATATTTGTATTCCTTTAAAATAAAAGTTTAAGTTTAGTATTGTACCTTTTGCAGTTTGATACCTGGAATTATTTCTCTAAACATGCTCTAACAAACTGGGGTAGTGGATGCTTTATAATTGTGTAGTCAGACCATTAGTGATCATAGTGCTGTTCACATCTATTGTTGTGGCACAGGTGGGGAGATACAATGAGTATTGTTTTGAATCTAAGAGAACCGTTGTTTAATATTCTGTTGAATTGTGGTATGACTTTGGGCAGATAATTTCTCAGGTGTTTCAGTCAAATGGACTGTAAAATTGCGGAAAAGCAAGGCCTTCCTGAAAACCAGATGCAGTGTTTATATATGCACATATATATAACAGTGGCTTTGCTAGGTTCTAGCCATTTGGCTGAAACCTATACAACACTGTGTCTCAACAGCACTATGATGAGCAGTCCCAGGTAAACTGACTATAAATACTCACATTTATACAAACAGTGAATAAATTGGTTTTTGCTTGTTGCTGAAACCCAGCGACGTTTTGGTATTTGCTTGTTGCTGAAACCCAGGGGTCTTTTAATCTCCACCGTTGCAATGTTCACGAGGAGCTGGACACATTACTTGTACATTTCTGCACTAATGCACTCTGTATCTAATGCTGCTTTGAGTGAAACAGCCTAACGCTGTGTGATCTTAGTCAACTTTACAGCGGATGCTGTGGGTAAAATATTTTGCAGCAGGAACCTGGTGCTTTTCTTTCACAGCTACTGGCTGAAGCCTGGAGAGAATGGTGGGGAAGAAAAAAAACAGGCTGACACAGAACAAAGAAACGGGGAACATAATGGGGAGCAATCACTTCCTATGAACTTGGAAACTAAGTGGGTTGAATATTGTAGCAATGTGTTCTGCTCCATATATTGCCTTTCTAGTATTAAACTAATGATCTCCTTTCAGAATGAAGGTGATGGTATCACTGATGTCCAAATAAAGTAAAGCCTCGTCCACACTTAAAATTGAGATTGATTTAGTTACCTCGGTTGGGGTATGAAAAATCCACATCTGTAAGCAATGTAACTATGCCGACTTAACCCAGTGTTGATGCAGAATGCCTCTGTTGACTTAGCTGCTGTCACTCAGGGAGGTGGTGTTCTACACCAATGGATAAACCTTTTCCATTGGTGTAGGCTGTACTGTGGATTTGTGCCAGCATAGTCTCTGTAGTGTAGCCAAAGACCACAGTTAGTCTTAGGGCACGGTTCTCAACCTTTTTCTTTCTGAGCCCCCCTCAGCATGCTATAAAAACTCCATGCCCCACCTGTGCCACAACAATTGTTTTTCTGCATGTAAAAGCCAGGGCCGGCGTTGCGGGGGTAGCAAGCAGGGCAGTTGCCCAGGGCTCCATGCCATAGGGGGCCCCGCAAAGCTAAGTTGCTCAGGCTTCAGCTTTAGCCGCAAGTGGCGGGGCTCTGGGCTTCTGCCCTGGGCCCCAGTGAGTCTAACACCGGCCTCCTTGGCAGGTCCACTGAAACCTGCTTGCGACCCCCCCCCCCCAGGGGGTCTCAGACTCCTGGTTGAGAACTGCTGTCTTAGGGTATCTTCCAGCTTTTAAAGAATTATTACTAAAAACTGACAAAATGCATTACAGAATAATTGAGTCACTCACTTGAATGTGGAATTGAGCTCATTGTTTGACTCAGAGCTTGTCTACTTAGCACGGCAAAGTGTGCCAGAAGGGTGTGATTTGTAAGAAACTTTGTTGATGTGAACTAGGTTCCTTTAGAGCATGCCAGCAGGGTTTCCGCAAGATAGAGCACAACATATTAGAGCACTTTACAAATCACAACCCTCTAGCCCAGGGGTGGGCAAACTACGGCCCACAGGCCGGATCCAGCCCGTCAGGGCTTTGGATCTGGCCTGTGGGATCGCAGCCCCCGCGCCGCTGCTGGAAGCAGCCGGCACCACGTCCCTGCGGCCCCTAGGGGAGAGGGCACAGAGGGCTTCTTGCGCTGCCCTCACCTGCAGGCCACGCCCCCCCACAGCTCCCATTGGCCAGGAATGGGGAACCGTGGCCAATGGGCGCTTTGGGGGAGGCACCCACAGGGGAGGGCAGCGCGTGGAGGTCTCCGTCCTTCCTCCTCGGCCCCCCCGGGGGCCACTGGGCCATGGTGCTGGCCGCTTCCGGGAATGGCATGGTGCGGGGCCAGGGCAGGCAGGGAGCCTGCTTTTTCGCCGCTGCCACCCCAGAGCTGCCCCAGGTAAGCGGCTCCGGGCCAGAGCCCACACCCTTAACCCCTCCTGCACCCCAACCCCCTGCCACATGCTTCCTGCACCCCAATCCCCTGCCCTGAGCCCCCTGCCACACCCTCCTGCACCGCAACCCCCTGGCCTGAGCCCACTCTGCACCCCCTCCTGCACCCCGATCCTCTGCCCTGAGCCCCCTTGTACACCCTGCACCCCTCCTGTGCCCCAGCCCCCTGCCCTGAGCCCCTTCCTGCACACCGCACCCCCTCCCACATCCCACACTCCCTCCCACACCCCAACCTCCTGCCCCAGCCCTACATTCATGACCTGGCATGCAATTTCCCCACCCCGATGTGGCCCTCGAGCCAAAAAGTTTGCCCACCCCTGCTGTAGTCTGCTTTGCCAGCACCGTGTAGACAAGTCCTCAGTACCGCAAAGTACAAATAATGCCTTACATTTTATTTTTTTAAAGGGATTATTGCTGTAATTTATTGTATTCTTAATAAACTACTTTATATTAAAGGCACCACCAAAGCCTGTACCGAAGACAATTGAAAATCAGAGAGTTTATGACGAAACAACTGTAGATCCTAATGATGAAGAGGTAAATGTATAATCCCTACATATGTGGTGGTAAAGCACATTTTGGAGGAAATCATGGTTTAACTAAAAGGGACTGATTATAAAGTATGAATATTTATTTTCCACTCTTATGTTAGGGCATTTATGAATTCATAATATTGCAGATGTTGTCATCCCTTTATCATTTCATTTAAGATCATTTTCTTAGCAATAATTTCTTAGCAAGCCTTGTCTCTGATCTTCTCTCCCGTTGTATTGTTAAAAACATAGATACAAAATGGGACAGATTGACTGACTAAACAATACAGTATAGGCCAGAACTTGGACCCGTATAGAATTTTGCTATTGACTTCAATGGTACCAGAATTTAAGTGAACAACTGTGTAACAGGGCTTCTACTCTGAAACCCAAAAACGGTGCGTTTTTCCTGTACGTTTTTTAATTCGCCGTCTTTTTTGGTTCCCAGGTTGCTTTTGATGAATCTACCGATGAGTTTGCACCATACTTCAATAGACAGACAGTTCCCAAGATTCTTATCACAACTTCAGATAGACCTCGTGGGGTAAAATACATTTATAAAATTTAAGTGTAATCTTTAAATTTTTGTGAATCACTTTATGGGGAGGTCTGAAAGACTTAGGCAGCTGATTATGGAATAGAGGTTTTCATTTCATGCTAGATGGTGCTACTGGAGTCCAGAAGTGACTTAAACAATGGTCCCTTTGTTGGTAATCTCAACAGAGAGACAGAGGACTTAATGGGCAGGGAAACGTCTTAATTCTCAACTCTGCGGTTCCTCTGTGTCAGGATAGATGTACATTGGCAGTGCAGCATCAGGAAATGTTTACTGCCACTGTCTTAAGCTTTGTCTCTTCATTTGATGAATAGGAGACTTCATTCTGTAGATCTTTAAATGTAATGCCTTTCACAAGCCCTCTGCATTTGCGCAGTCTTAAAAGAACACCTCCAAATTGAAAATTGCATCTCTATCTGAATTGTTTTTCTTCAGTTGGTTTACTTTGTTTATAGTATGTTCCTTCCCTTTGATCTCAATCCTGCAATGAACTCTTCATGGGTAGAGCTTTGTGCCAACGCAGTTTTTTATTGCAGGATTGGGGCTATTGGTGGTTTTCGCACAGAGCATAGAAGAATGAAAAACACTTTTTAAAATTAAGAAAATGTGATCTGAAAAACCTCAAATTGTCAGGGGACTTGGGCAGGTGTCGTACCTGAAACTACTTTTAACTCTTTTTTTTTTTTTAAGTGATTTATTTGCAAGCTGATTGTGTCCCTTTAATATTTTGTTATTGTATTAAAACCATGAGTGCTATTACTTAATATTAGAATTTTTCCACTTTACTGTGTTCAAGGAATAATGGAATCTCTACAAAAATAGTGTTTTCTGCATTTTTTGAGTGTCAACACAGAGTGCCCTCCAAAATGGAGGGAAGCTACTGTCCTTGCCCCAAGGAGTTTACTTTCTAAGTAGAAGATGGACAATACAGTTCAGACCTGTAATGCAGCAGAATATCAGACACTTTTTTCTCTAGTGACTGGTGTGGTGTTTTCAATGTACAGCACTTTGCTTTGTGTTAATGTTGGTAGAGTTCATGGAAGAAATGTTTAAGAAAAACACAGTACGGTAAAAGCTTTGTTATCCGGAATGTTGGGGGATTGGGGGACGCTGGTTAGTCAAAAATTATAGTCAACTAAGAGTTATACTTACCAAATGGAATACCAACTTTCAAAGCATTAGAATACAATAAAACGAATAAACTATACAATAGTACTCACTAATCCAGTAGTAGTACTGCACTGCAGGGTGGTTGGTTTCTTGAAGCACTTAGGTGTCTACAGGTAAAGGTTTCTATACAGTAGGTTATCTTATGACACCACGTATCACCGTGGGAAGCACATGACGTGTACCCAAATCACAAAAAATATACTTAACACTAAAACTATACTGAATATAATTTAATCTTTGATTCTGAAGACACTTCAGGATCTTGCAGTGCCTCAGGGTCATCATTATCAACATCAATTATCACTGTAGATGTAGAAGGTATAGGAGATTGGGCTGAATCTGTAATGACCCTATGACAAACCTTGGAAGCTGCTTTTTTGAATAAGTTCCTGATGTCAGCTTGCTTACTTGTCTTCTGCCTCTTTTGCATAAAAGTAGAGTGCAGAATGTGCAGTTGCATAACCTACTGGGCAGTATACTAGTCTCGGTTACTAGATTGAAGATTTGTATTAGTAAATATCAGAAATGCCCGTTAATAGAGTTTTCTGGTTGATAAAGTGCCAGATAACACAGCTTCTGCTGTATTTGATGAAGAGGTAGCTAGATACACTGAAAGAAGGAGGCAGTTGTATGAAATGTAACCCTTTTTATGAACCTTACAATATACCCAACAATTGAGATATTGCAATCAAGGCTTTCTATTGTGCAGAGAACAGTGAGATTCTGTGAACAGTTGTCTACTATCATACCTAACTCACATGTTTACTATCGAAGAGGACTGGCTCTGAAAAGAATTATCCCACAGTGCATCTCAAGAGACTTCACAGATCTGATTGTTATTAATGAAGATCGCAAAATACCAAGTATCCTTCATATACAAGAGGGAGTTTCTTCATAGAGTTCTCTATTATATGATGAAGATATTAGTACACTAATTCTAGACAAAGTTAAGAAAATAATTGGGCTATATAAGTCTCCAAGTTCTCTCCCAAATCCTTTATGCTTTTGTCTTCACTGTGCAATTTCAAGTTGATGTAGTGCAATTTTTCACTGTCTTTAGAAGTTAAAAACCAGTATTTCTACTTTTCTACAGGCCAAATATGAAACCAAAGACCATTTTTTGGGTCTGTCTCAAACTGTAACTTGTAACTTTGTATTTATAAGGTTTTAAGAACAATAACTTGCTACTCAGATATCTGCATGCCTCAGGTCAATTCTGAGGCCCACAGCACAGGTGCCATAATATGGTTCCATATCGGTATTCGATTTGGCACATCCTTGTATGTATTGTTTTTATGTTTGATCATAAAGGGCATCAATTTAGCACTTTAAATGGAGGGATATTCTTGGTGGTTAGGTAAAGAAATGCTGAATGTATCCAATATACTGGCATTCTATGTATGGCTTGGAATTCTTATCAACAAGTGAATCACTCTATTTTTTTGAGACAACTTAGTGCATGAATAAACATTCTTATTGCACTAAATTTAAGTAGTTTAATCAGCTGTTGGATTTTGTTAATATACATAAACTTTCATTGTTATGTTTATAGTGATCTATAGCAAAATAGAAAATAAATAATGTGTTCTGGTTAACTATTTGACCAGTAAAGTTTTAATGATACTTCATAGTATGCTAATATATTTTCTATAGTGTCTTTGTGTAAGTATGGAAATTTTAGTAATATGAGACCTTGTTACAGCATTCCAAGCTCCACTATTGCAGAGAAGAGGGTAGGTATAACTGTCTTATATATGAAATATAGGTTGTGTAAATTAGAAGAGCTCTAATGTAATGTTTCTGTGGAACTCAACACAGGTTTCTATATAAATCACTTCTGTTGTATTCTGTTTAAATTGCATTCTGAACTTCTTATCTATGCCAGCTTTTCTTAACTCTCTGAAACAGATGGGCTTGTTTTAAGTCATTTGCCTGATGGTCCAACTGCTCATTTTAGAATGAGCAGCGTTCGTCTGCGTAAAGAAATAAAGGTCAGGTTTATTATTCCCTCAATAACAGCAAAAAACTAATAAATGCATGATCCAAATGGCTTAGTGGTATAAGTTTTTCCTTTCACGTTTTCTTAACTTTTGTCTGATGAGGAAACTGTTCAGACTTGCATGATGTGCAGTTGGTTTCATAAAGATGGTGATGTTCTACTGTTTTTGAGGCGAGGAGGACCAGGACCTCTATTCTTTAGTTTGACTTCTTACATAGCAGGGCAATAGACTTTCACCCAATAATTCCTGCAGTGGACTGATCACTTTGTTTTTATCTCTGATACATTTTTGCACTCATTGCAATGGCATTATATAAAATCAGTTGTGTACCAACTCCCAAAGTCTCAGTTTTCCACTTTGTGTATATATTCTCTTACTTTGTTTTTTATACAGTGCCATCACAAATGTATAGGAATCCTGATGGTGTACTGGAAATACTGAACTCTTGTTTAGCCCCAAGTAGTCTAAAAGCACTGTGCTCTTTTTTTTTAATGTACTTTAACAATGAAGGAACTGAAATCACCTTTAGTCAATCTGGCGTCATTAAAGGTTGGCCTGGATGGATGGATGAAAAGAGTAGCTTTGGTAGCAACGAGACTTGAATGTCCACAGAGATTTTCAAGGTTTTTGTGATGGCTGAACTGATTTTTTTTTTTTTTTTGTGAGGGGAAAATATAGAAGGAATAACTATCATTCTCTTCATATTTATTCAAGAAATTTGTTTTTTTAATCAATGAATTCGTAGAATTTTGAGGTCCTTAAATGTTTCCAAACGATGCTGTACTATATATATGTTCTTTATAGCATTTAACGTGGGGAGTTAATACATCTTTTGGCCTTAACCTTCTTCCCCTCTTTTTTTATATTTGTTCAAATTTCTGTCTTTGAATATATATATATCTTTGGAAATTTTTTTGTATTTAACTTGTTATCCTCCCTACCTTGTTACTTTCATTCCAGCGAAAAGGAAAGGCGCCCACAGAACATCAACCTGAAGTAATCCTGAATAACTTTACAACACGACTGGGCCATTCCATTGGTCGCATGTTTGCCTCTCTCTTCCCACATGATCCTCAGTTCATTGGAAGACAAGTAGCTACCTTTCACAATCAGCGAGACTATATCTTTTTTAGATTTCACAGGTAATCTTTTTTCACATTTTGCTAGTGGCTAAGAAAAACTGCATTCCTGTAACATCCCACCCTAATGTGTTCCCCTTTGGCTTTGAAGGTACATCTTCAGGAGTGAAAAGAAAGTGGGAATTCAAGAGCTGGGGCCACGATTTACCTTAAAACTGAGGTCTCTTCAAAAAGGAACCTTTGATTCCAAATTTGGAGAGTATGAATGGATTCACAAGGTATGCCTTTTAGTAATGATATCGGGATGGGCACTTAAAATTTTGGCATTCTGAAATGTGACCACAAACGTCAGCCTAAAAGAAAAGTTGTAAATGGCATTTAAAGTATGGACATGGCTAACTGAAACTTCATTTAGAGTTTCTAAAGAAATATAGCAGAACCTTTCTAACTTGCATAATGGAAAATAAGTGATCAATAAAAAAAAGCAGGGATAACAAGTACTAATATAGCTCAATCAGTTATTTGTAAAGTGTAGTTGAACTTTAGCATAATTAATAGTATACAACTGTTCTGTGACAGAACTTGTAAAAAGTCTTACTGAGACTTTATTAATGTGAACTTGCTACTATCTTGCTGGTAAAGTTGATTAGATTTATTTCTGTTTACACACTAATGAAATAATCATAATGTGCGAGTAAGTGAGGCTTGATTGTGTGCATAAATATCTCAGGTCAAACTGACTTTTCACATAATTTTAAATAAAATGGGAGTGATAGAATCAATAAGTAGTATTGAACAACTTCACTAGTCATTTTTGGCCATGGAGTTGTAGCACTTAGCTTCCAAGTTTAGAAATATTAGGCAGCATTGCAAAGCTACAAGAGGGAAAAACTCTGGTACACTTTGATCTGTCGGAGTAAGTGGTAGATGTAGTCCTCTTCTTAAACAGACATGAAAGAACCATAATCACCTTTATGGTGAGTGTGTCAGCACATTTCCATTTATGAGCCATCTATGTGATTTTGATAATGCCACACCTAAAAATGGAGTATGTACTCTCTGATCTTCATCTTCCCCACTGCTAATCCTGGCAGGCTGAATCCAAGAACTAGTTAAAGTACATTGCAGCTGCAATGCCACTGGGAAGATACACACCACCTTCCTCCCCCGCTATAGTTTTGTTTTAAAATATGTATTTGCCTATTTCTTTAGTGTCTGCTACTGTTACATTTAACAGCAAATTTTACAGTGAATATCTTTTCTTTAAATTTCAGCACCGTGAAATGGACACAAGTAGAAGAAAATTCCACTTATAATGGAAATGATCATCTAGTTCTACCTAATTAATAGGAGTGCAGAACTTTCTTGAATTCTTCTGTAACTAAATTGAGTCTGGCTTTGGTCCTGTCATCTCAAATTCATTGTTGTTAAACAATGTTGCTCATCACTGAGCAATGTTATCTGCACAGGCAAGCAGACTACAAACAGCTTCAAACTTCCTACAACAGATATTTTGAAACAGAATTGGTGTCGTCCTCAACCTTCCCACTAGGCCTCAATGCTGACTCCTAAAGCATTGCCTCTAAGGGTATGTCTGTCTACTGCCTTTAAGGGTATGTCTGTGCAGCAGCTGGGAAGCATAATCCTAGTGCTGGTAGACAAACACGTACTAACTCTGCTTGAGCACAGCAGTGTGGCTGTGGGGGTGGCAGGGGCTGGTCACCTGAGTGCAAACCTGCCTGATCCCCTAGGAACTTACTCAGATGACTGGCCTGAGCTGGGGCTCATGTCACCCCCAGCCACACTTCTGTTTTTAGCACTCTAGTATGAGCAGAGCTAACGCGTGTTTGTCAGCCTGCATTGGGAAGCATGCTATAGAATGCTGAGTAGACACATCCTTTGATTCAAAACTGGCAAAGTTTCCTAGAATGTGAGTAGTAGCTGCCAGTAGGTTGCACGGTAGTAATTACTGACACTGTATCATTACTACCCCAGTGCCTTAGTAACAAAGCTGTTTGGGAGTAGCATGGTTGGTTGTGCTCAAAGGTAAGTAGACACAGACTCTACTGTCAGTTAAAATAGGTTAGCCATGAATAGTGTTGCCGTTTCTATAAATTGTGCAGTGTCATTGCTGTCACAGCTCTACTTCTGCTGTTCCCAAGAACTGCATTTCATAACCAGATTAGCTGTACTTGAAGAAAAGCTTTATTGTGAGAGGTGGAGTCTGAAGGAAAAGATATCTGACCAGAGATATGTATAGTCTCTTACTAAGACAGCTCAGAGTTAAAATACACTAAGTATTTAACAAGTTTCCAAAAATGGAGCAAGTGTGTGTGTATATATATAGCTGTATCTGAACTTCATTAAATGCACACACTGTCTGAAAGGCAGCTTCTTCCATTTGAGTAATTTGCCTCCAGGTGCAAATACAGCCCTAATCTGGGTGCTAAAAAGCGAATAGCTGGCCAGTGGTTTAACAAAATGGTAATCAAAGTCTGTTTTGTAGACAAACGCTTTAAATCAGCTAAATGGGTGTGAGGAATTGGATTGTACAGCTTCCAAGAGGGACTTTTGTAACCAATCAGTCTTATGTTGCTTTTAAGAACAAGTAACATAAAAATTATGAAGATACTTTATGTATCTTGAGTAGAAAAGAGCAATGGTTCTTCTCTACTGCAAGTAACGAGTAAAACAAAAACCTTCACTGGCTTCAGCACCGACTTTGTATAGGCACAGATGAGTACTTCTGAAGAAATCTGTGCTTTTGGCTTCAGTTGGAATTGTTACCGGCTAGTGATGTGGAATACCCACAATATTTGAAGTCTCCGATCAGAGTATGCTTTAGTAAATATATAACTCAAATAACTTTCGAGAAGTATTGGAGTCACAGTAACAAAACAGCCGTACAGTCATTCCAAAAACAGATTAAGTCAAAACATTTTTATTTTTTGCTTGGTATGTAAAACTGATTCCCTCATGAAGTAGAAGTTATTGCAACTAGCACACAGTTCATTTGGAGAGGTAGATGGTAAGAGGTTTGACAACAGTAGCGATTTACAGAGTTAACTTGGCACATTGTTAAGGCTAAGCTTTTGTACAGACTTCAAACCAAGCCACTCCTTGAGTCACATTCTCTCCACACAGAGCAGCTGTGAAAAGGTGTTAAAAGATCTGAAAGACAAAAAAAAAAAGGAAGTGGTTAGAAAAAAGTAATGAAAATCTGTATGCATGCTTGATGAAAGTACTCCCACGTAAATCTATGACACTATAGACAAGTAAAAAGAAAAGGAGTACTTGTGGCACCTTAGAGACTAACCAATTATTTGAGCATAAGCTTTCGTGAGCTACAGCTCACTTCATTGGATGCACAAGTAGGTATAAATTAGTTCACCTTCACAGGTAGCTCATGGGACAAAGGGTGGCTTTCATTGCCATCACTTTCAGAAGTTTATATATTGTAAATTCTCCGAGGTAGGATGTTATACAGCAGGGACTAGAGGCAGAATCCAACTTGTACAAGTAAATAGGGGGCTTGTTGTCCTAGGAGCTGGATCTGTTAAATTGAGTGGTCTGAACTGGTTGACCAGAGAAAATAAATTGTTCTACAGCAACAATAGTTGCAAACCTTCTCCTCTAAATACCACTTCCACATGAAGAGACACAGACTATTGGGTGAGAGGTGGTAGCTACTGCCTCCACTAATGCTGTAGACCAAGGACAATCACTTTGCTGCCCACCACCACCAGGTGTTCCTAACTTTTCTGGCTCATCGTCAAAACAGAGTAGGACTGCCCCCATAAAGTTTGCTGTCTGGAGAGGTTACAGGGGGAAAAAAACCCTCTCTTTTAGAGGTAGTATGTCTAAACTGTTGTCCAAAGGACTTCTGCATGTGATGTCAGCAGAAACAGATGTTTCAGTCCTGCCCCCCCCCCCCCCAATTGTGATGGTAGGGGCTGGGACTTGAGAAATAGCATTTAAATTCTTATTACAAGTAAGGGGTTTTTTGAGTGGAGTACTAAAAGAACTTGATTACCACTGCATCTTAATTCCTGGGTGTGGTTGTCAGGAAAAGCTTAGTGTAGAGCAGAATCTTACACTGCCAGAATCCATGCTCTACCTGCTCCATGGACAAAAGACTTTAGGACTGGCAAACAGGACATTGTTCACTAGCATTAAATTCTTTTCTTTGGTGAGGAAATGAGAGCAGTCTATTTTAGTGGAAAAGTTTATTGAAAAGTCAGAACTTTTTAAAAATATACTCCAAAATGAATGTTATATACATTTAAAATGAATGACCTGATGGCAGCTTATATTATCAGGACAAACAGGAACAACTTGTATCATTGGTCGTTTAAAAAACTTACCACTGAAAGAGACCAAGATAGTTCACCAAATTACAAAAATGAACAGACTTTCTGGGGTCTGAATGGATTTGTACTTGAAGACACTCCTGTCAGTAGGGGATCATGTTGTGCATTCTGCAGACAGAACTGCTTCAAGTCTGCTGCGGCTTGAGAAACCTAGTCATAAAGTAAATTTTAAATTAGGATTCACAGCAAATACTTTATCTTGTATGTAACATATTCTGTAATGTATAGAGGGTGCTGCATTCAGTACAGCTAGATTTTATTACACACAAAACACTTGCATTTTAGTTTTTGTTCAGTCAGAAAAACTACAGCATTCAGTAATACTCTATTTTAAGGGAGTTGGTCTTGTCTTCAGATACTGGGTGCACAGTTCAGCACATCTTTGAAAGTCAGCTCTTGGCTACTATACATACAGGTCCCTCAAGCTGAAGTAGCATTGAATGCACTATGGCTAATTTTTACAAGACATGCAATCATACACCAGTGTCTGCCACCTGATGCAAGTCCCAAGACTGTTTTACTTTATACTTTTTCTAAGGGCTTGTCTTCACTACAGGGTTAGCTCAAGGTATAACAAGTGTTGACTCTATCCCAGCTCCTGTGCACAAACAACTAGGTTCAGATAAGTGGTGCTTTTAACTTGAGGTGGCTGGTTTGGCAGTGTATAGGTTGAAGCTCAGGTGTTGCTAGGACAGAGATTGGAAACTGTAGCCTGTGGGACCGTCCTGCCCGGCCCTTTAGCTCCTGGACGGGGAGGCTAGCCCCTGGCCCCTCCCTGGCTCCCCTCCCTCCCCTGCAGCCTCAGCTTGCCGTGCCACCAGTGCTCTGGGCAGTGGGGCAGCAAGCTCCTGCTGGGCAGCATAGCTGCCAGTCCTGGTACTCTGAGCAGCATGGTAAGGGGGCAGAGGGTCCTGGGGGGCAGTTGGGACATGGAGTGGTTGGCTAGGGGGTGGGGTTCTGGGAGGGGGCAGTCAGGGGACAAGGAATGGGGGGGTTGGATGGCTCCGAGAAGGGCAGTCAGGGGGTGGGAAGTGGGAGGGGGCAGAGGCCACGCTGTTTGGGGAGGCACATCCTTTCCTACCCAGCCCTCCATACAGTTTTGGAACCTCCATGTGGCCCTCGGGCCAGAAAGCTTGCCCACCCCTGTGCTAGGACTAGTAAAGCAGTGGGGACTCAACTACTCCATGCTGCTAATCCAATCCTATTGTGCTGCTCTAATGTTGTGTTTCAGTGTTTTCAACTTCTCTCACTTGAATAGGTGTGAACTCGATAACTTAAGCTAACACTGAAGACAAGCCTTAAGAATAACAAGAGCTATGTCAGTATACCATTTTTGTATAAATATATTGATATAAGAATCTATATATGCCCTCAAGAATGTGAAAAATCCACCCACTGTATTTTAAAATTCAGTTCCAAACTAAGCACAGTGATGATCCTAGAAGTGGTGTCTATATCTGTATTACAGTTGCAGGCTGATGACTCAGAGTGGGGTGACACTGTGGAGGTCACAGTGCAAACTCTTGAGACACAGTGCTTCGCCAAAAGAGTTTAAGCCTTTGAATTAAGTGGGAGGAGTGGCTGAAAACAAAGCCTAATTTACTCTGACCAAACCTTCCAGTAGCTGGTCATTTAAATTGTATTTTATATGCACCAAAAGGAGAGGGAAAAGCCTTCTGCCACTCAGGTGAAGAATTTTAAATAAGTGGTTTTCAACCAGGGATATGCGTTCTGGGGTTACATAAACTTATCTAGATATGTGTCTAGTTTTACAACAGGCTACAGAAAAAGCACTAGTGAAATCAGTACAAACTAAAATTTCATACAATGACTTATTTATACTGCGCCATATGCTGTACACAGAAATAAGTATATTTATATTCCAGTTGATTTATTTTATAATTCTATGGTAAAAATGAAAGTGTGCACATTTTCAGTACTAGTGTACTGTGACACTTTTGTATTTTTATGTCTGATTTTGTAAGCAAGTAGATTTTAAGTGAGGTGAAACTTGGGGGTTTGTAAGACAAATCAGACTCAAGAAAGGGGTACAATAGCCTGGAAAGGTTGAGTCTCACTGTTTTAAATCATCCTTGATGCTGTCATGCTTAACTAACATGTCTGCAAGTCCATCACCAAATAAATTTTAAAAAAACCAATTCTCTCTAACTTAGCCTGAAGGTTGCTTGACACATTTTTTAAGCTTTCCCCACAACATAAGAATAGCCCTCATTTTGGAGGAAAAACAAGGCCAATTGTGGCTGCCTCAGATAAACTAACTTCATTGTCCCATTCCTCTCCATCAAGAAAACATTCTTGGGATGAGACAAGACATGAAGAGCATTATTTTTTTTACAAAAGGTTGTAGGTACATTAAAACATAGCAGTAAAATGAAAACATAGCAGGTGCTTTCTCCCCAGTTACTCATTTTGAAGGGAGACCTGCAAACTGTAGCTTGCAAATTTGACACAAGGCCTATCCTAGCCACTAAGTCCACAGGCGATGCTCACTCAGCGTATGCGAGGGCTCCAGGGATGTCTCAACTTTATATCTGAATAATCAAAACGGGGTAGAGGCCTGCAACAGCCGAAACCAGGGGTAGTCAACAGGTGGACCGGGCGCCAAACGCAGATCAGTGGGAACTGACCTGGACTTTTAATTATTTTCTCTGCAGTTTGGACCTTGACCAAAGCTAATCGACTGGCCCAGGCCCAGGCTGAGCGAGCCCTGTGCAGAGAGGTGGCAGGGCGGGGAGACTCCGCACAGCAGGGCACCTTAAGTGACGGGCCCGGAGGGGAAGGTGCCCAGCTGGGGCAGCCCCGCCCTGCAGCACAGCACACCCCGGGATCAGGAAGCGAGCGGCTGGGACCCCACCCAGTTGCCCGGCGCAGCAGCGCGGTACGACAGCCCTGCGCGTGGGGCGCGTGTGTCCGCACGCACAAGAACGGCCTGGAGCCCCGCCCCGCCCCACCCCCCCCCTGCGCGGCGGGCCCCCGCGGGGCTCGGGGCTGGGCACGCGCGGACAGCTGGGCACAGGGGCTCTCGACTAGCCGTTAGCCCAGAGTAACGGGAGCTGCGGGCCGCCCCGGGGCGGGGCGGGCGGCAGCTCTGCCCCTCCGGCGCGGGGCCTGGGCGCGGCACTGGCGGCCCGGCCGGGTGCCCCGCGGCCTTTCCCACCTTCACGCGGCTCACGCTGGCCTCCAGGCGCAGCTGCTGCACCACCTTCTTCATGGCCGCCACGCTGGAGGAGCCCGACATGGCGCGCGGGGAGCGGCTCGGCTCGGCTCGGGCGGCGGAGCCAGGCGCTGCTCGGAACTTTAGCACGAAGTTTCCGGCGCTTCCCAAACTGCCGCCGGCGCCTGCGCAGCCGCCGTCTCAGCGGGAGGGCGGCGCGCCGGCCCGGCCTGAGGGGGCGCTGTGACCGCGCTCGGGGGCTCGCCGGAGCGGCCCCCGGCAACGGGGCGGGGCGGCCCCAGCTCGGGTGTGCTGTGGGGTCTGGGGCGGCGGAGCCTGTGGGAAATGACGCCAATGTCACTGTCCCGATACAGCCCCGCAGGTATCCCCGTAGCGGCGTATCTCCCTAGGGCCTGATAGCGTGGCCATACCCCCGTCCCTGGGCCGCCCCAGCGCCAGGAGTCCCGGGTCGGGGTTCAGCGCCTCGGCTTGGTTTGCTCCGGCCCCTGGGACGCGTGGCGAGAAGGCGCCGGGGCAGGTAATCGTGGCGCCTTAGTGACCCGGTGTTTCTGTGGTCAAGGGCGTCTGCTCGCCTGGCAGTGTTTGAAAAGGGAAACGTTACCCAGGAAACCCCTCCCTCGGCCGGGGCAAGGCCAGCCAAGCGGCGCAGGGTAAATCAAATAACCCAAACCGAAGAAGAAACATACAAGATAATGTAATTTGCGGCTCTGTTGCACCTGCTAGCCAGCGATCCCAAAGTGCTTTCTATATAAACTCATGAAGTGAACCTCCTGCCCTGCTCACCTTTGGAGTAACAGCCCATTTTATAAATGGGGAAGGAGAAGCTGCAACTTGCCTAAGATGAGATCACACCAGCCTGTGGCAAAGTCGACCAAAAACCGCAATCTCCTTCCCTCATTATATTTGAACAATCAGAACATGGTTCTTAGGAGTGCCCCTCTGGCACTAGTGACTTTTGTTTCTTTCATGTACTGCTTAAACTGGCTTATCCTTTCATCAACACAAGTTGATTTACCTCACCCACCCTGCCTCTAGGATGGTGAACAGTTAGTTCTACAAGTATACATTAGTATACCGTTTTGTATTAGATTTTTCATGGATTTTGAGTATTTGATTTATAATTCACTATTTCTGAGAAAAATAAGGTGAATAGTAAAACAAAGTTTCAATCGCTGGCATATAATGCTCCCACTATATATTGTGGATTTGGGACTTTGCATTTCGTTAGTAGCTTCCAAGTAATTTCTGGAGAAATTCCCCTAAAATGGAGACAAAATGGAAATTTTTGTAGGTTGGATTTAGGGAGAAAATAATGCTGAATCCAGGCCTAGAGAGTTTTTATACTATAAAATAATGCTTGTGGTGAGTCAGAATAAAATTAGCTCCTCAGATAAATTGACCTAAACATATCAATCTAATTTCAACAGATGTTTCTAGGAAAAAATACTAATTTAGAGGACTCCCATTAACTAGATGCATTTTGAGTTTGTTGCAATTAATTCAGACAACAAAAGATTAATAGAAATTGTAGCTTGAGGGGTTTTTTTGCTGAAAAACATAAATTCTCATCTAAAACCTTTTGACAACTGGTTTTAAATCCCTTATTCTAGAAAAAGATGGTAACTGAACGACTGTGATATAGTATTTGATAATAGATATGTTGTACAATTATTGGCCATTTTATAATCCCATTGATTTCAGTAGAAGTTAGGAACCTAAATACCTCCGAGGTTCTTGGCCAAAGATCTTAGAATCTGGATTTACTTTGACAAAACAGGAAAAAGCAATGGGATAGAGACCGAGAGGGAGGAAAGAAGGAAGGAAGGAATATGTAGAATAAGGCACTGGGGTGGGTGGTACAGTAAGCATAGGCTTTTTGTTTGTTTTTATAGTGATAGAAAATTACATCCGTGTAAAACACAAGATTGGAGAATTTGTGGTTTGTAGGCCAAGGGCCTAAAGAGACAATTAAATCTCTTGTTTTAAAGGAACCATTAGATATGGTAATCTCAGTCATCAACGAAAAATGTAAACAGTGTTTGCAGTCTAAATGGAATAGGAGGAAGAAGAAGAATACTTTGCACTCCTCAGGTCTTTTTACTGAGGATCTTAAAGCACTTTATGAACAATCATTAATCAAGACTCATAACAGCCATGGGAGGTCAATGAGAATTATTATTTTCATTTTAGTGATAGGGATACTGAGGCACAGAGTTGTTAAATGACTTTCCTAATGTCTCAAAAGAGGGGTCTGATCAAAGTGACCTTGTGTTCCTTATTCAGGTAAAACTACTGAAGTCAGGATCAGAACTCAGTGAAGGGCAGAACTGGGAATTAAAGCCAGACACTCAATTCTGTCCTTTTAATGATAATCTATCTGTCTCTATTTGTTAATCATAAATAGGGCATCTTAATTTAGGTTTTAACCAAAAAACACAAATAAAACAACCCCCGATGCAAAACAAATTAAATTGGTGCTTATCCAGTAAATACCAGAAAAGGTTACTTGTGTCTGAGAGCTTGTCTACATGGAGCAGTAATGCAGACTATGGGAGGTGTGATTTGTAATGCACACTAACATATTGCAACGTTAATTGGTCTCAGTAGACCTTGCTGATGCTCACTAGGGAACATTACAAAGAGATTACTCATTACAGCATATATGACTGTAATGAGTAATATATATATAACATATACAAAGAGAAAGCCATGAAAAACCCTGGTTTTTGGACATCTACATAAAATTCAAAAATTGATACAAATAATCCTCCAAAAATTAAATTAATAAACTCAGAAAACCAGAAGCACTAATCATCAGCCTGTCTATACTAGCACGTTTGGTACTTGTCAGCAACCTGACAGGTAGTGTATATTTATGGCAGCAAAGGATCTAAAGCAAGTGTTGTGTAAAAGCCAAGGAAGTGTATGTGCCTTTTTGATGTTGAACCTTGCACCCAGGCCAAGAAACAACCTTTATTCTGGTTTGACCAGGCATTTGCTTTTACCAGTCTAGATAAGATGTGTCCTATTACCAGTCAGATTTGTCAGCTTCCAACACTGATCCAGGAAGCCTTTCTTGCATTGAAACAATGCATTGATGGTTCAATACCCCGCTAAAATGAGGGTTAAATAGCATGAAAAATCTGGGTATTGGAATCCGTGGAGAAATTATCACAGTTTGAAATGTGCATATCCGTAGATAGGATTAATGATACAGGGACTTGCCTATTCCCACATCCTCTCTTGCTTCATGGATGAAGCCAAGTGTCCTTGGACTACTTTTCCATTTTGATTCTTGCATGCTGAAATGTCATAGGTGTGAATGACTGCATGGCTTCAGACTCTGCCATTCTTGCCCACCTACCAAAAATAAATCCAGACACTGGAAGAAATACATCTTGTGTTTGTTAGATGCACTGTAGAAATATAGAAAACTATATACAGTAATTAAATACTTTTTGATAAAAGAAGAATGGAAAATGTTACTCAGAATACTAATGCAAACCTCAGTTGCACAACTGCAATTATGCAATTCACTGGGTTACTTAGGTGATATTTAGTTGTATAGAAGGTGTGTTCACATCAAAGGGAGTGTTAAGCCTACTAGTCAGTACTTAACTCTTTGCAGTTTGTCTTTAGGTTTTGCTGGAATCAAAGCCTTCAGCCTGAATCCAGGACCTACTTACAAGCTCTCTGCTGCTTTTTTCTAAAACTTTTGTACGAAGTGGAAACAGATTCAAACTGAATGGAATACCATTTTTGACTTACAGGATTTATCATAACCCTTACTGTTACCTAGTGCTAAGATACAAACGAAATTTAAAAATCCATCTGGAATTCAGTGACATCCAATACAGGCACCAGTGAATATGTCATTCAGTCAAACTAGACCTCCAACATCAGAGGTGAGAATTTTTGCTCTGAATATTTTAGAAAATCTGTATAACTGTTCTAAACTGTGAAAGTTTCTGCCATGCAACATTTTCTGGCAGATATGTGAAGAAAATATCCACTTATTTTAAAGATGTGTACGTGAAAAACCATTCAAAGTTTAGTTTATATTTAATAACCAAAAGTTTGTAGGAATATTCACTAAAGCTTATTTGTGATGGTTGTTTATATAGGCCACATATACACTAGGAAACTTTTCCAAAAATTTCCCACTATTTCTAACACTGGTTCAGCTGCATCAAAGATAGCAATATTGGCAGCTCAGCTATCAACAGGGCTCCCATGGCCATCACAGTTTTAAGCATAATGTCACCTAACCCTCCTCAGCTCAGGTCTAGTCGTGGTTTCAACAGCCACTGGCCTGTGCACTTGAGTACTTGGACTATTGCTATAATTCTTAGAAGTCTGGAAATGTTTTGAATTTTTTTCCTAGTGTTGTGAAGACCTCTGTCTGTGTTTGTCATTAATAAGACGAATGTATATTAATGGTGAGCCCTGCACTCTTTTCTGTTGCATGGCTCAGAGTGAAGGCAAGGAGTAAAACTAGAGCATAAAGGGCCTGATTTTCCATTGCCTTACACTTTGTGTAGCCATTTACATCCATGCAAAGTAGCTGTTAAATGCCAGCATTCTGATCTGGAAAAGTGTATATGAATACACAAGATGCAAGGCAGTAGAGACAGTGATTAATTTGTGCCAGGGCTGAGCCTGGCACCTCTAAGCTTTGCATTTCATAGCCCTGGCACTTCTGGGCTTGCTGCATCAGTTATGAATGTAAATAAATTGCTTGAACTCCAGCACCTAATTGCTTGAGCCCTAGCACCTCTTTCATTACAAATTAAGCCCTGAGCCCTTTCCCTCAACACAGGCACATGGAGGCTTCTCCACAAACTGTTTTACACTGAGGCCCTGATCCAAGCCCATTCAAGTTCATAGAAGCCTTTGCATTGACTTCAATGGACTTTGCATCAGGCTCTTAGAGCTCTACAGATTTTGGGAGGTCACATATCTCTCTGAGGACTTCAAGTATTTTTAGTCAGTTCCAATCATTGCTGGTGGAGTAACATCCAACAGCAGCACAGCTCCTCTCCCCTGACTTCTACAGAATAAAATATAAAATAGTTTCAACGTTATTTCTGTGAAAAATTTCCACACTGAACACGCTGTCAATTGAAATGTGTGCGGTCCAAATCCAGCCTCATGATTATTTATGTGGCCCACGTGAAATATTCAGATTGTGCTGAATCCAGGTTTTCTTTCTTTTTTTTTAAAGTACTTCTTTAGAACTTATAATTGCAGAGAGAGCCTGCCAAATGTGAACCAAGTGTAAATTGATATAATGTCTGCAAACAATGACTCAAAGGTGTAAACTCCTCTGCTGGTCTTGAGTCTGCATTAGTATTTTTATTAATATAGAAAACATTTATAATTTTATAAAATGATAATTGGAGTGAGGTTTGTAAGGAGCAGAAAGGAGATATTGGACCCAAGTTTATAGTTCTACTGAAACATTCTAATTTGCAAAAGTGAACCTCTACAATCATTCATAATTATTCCATGGCTGACATTTGTCAGCACTTTAGCTATTTTTCTTATTTGTGAGCTATATCCTATCACTGGGAAATTTCTGAGTTAATACTGCAGGATATGGTCCATTATTATTATATTATTTCAGGTTTCAGAGTAACAGCCGTGTTAGTCTGTATTCGCAAAAAGAAAAGGAGTACTTGTGGCACCTTAGAGACTAACCAATTTATTTGAGCATAAGCTTTCGTGAGCTACAGCTCACTTCATCGGATGCATACTGTGGAAAATACAGAAGATGTTTTTATACACATAAACCGTGAAAAAGATGGGTGTTTATCACTACAAAAGGCTTTCTCCCCCACCCCACTCTCCTGCTGGTAATAGCTTATCTAAAGTGATCACTCTCCTTATAATGTATATGATAATCAAGGTGGGCCATTTCCAGCACAAATCTAGGTTTTCTCTTCCCCCCACCCCCAAACAAACCCACTCTCCTGTTGGTAATAGCTTATCTAAAGTGATCACTCTCCTTACAATGTGTATGATAATCAGGGTGGGCCATTTCCAGCACAAATCTAGGTTTTCTCTTCCCCCCACCCCCCAAACAAACCCACTCTCCTGTTGGTAATAGCTTATCTAAAGTGATCACTCTCCTTACAATGTGTATGATAATCAAGGTGGGCCATTTCCAGCACAAATCCAGGGTTTAACAAGAACTCTGAGGAACAGTGTGGGGGGGGGAGGAATAAGCAAGGGGAAATAGGTTACTTTTTATAATGACTCAACCATTCTCAGGCATTGGCACCCTGACAGCAGGATTGTCTGGCTATGTAGACTCCCTCCTCAGGCCCTACACTTCCAGCACTCTCAGCTACCTTTGACAGGTTTCAGAGGAACAGCCCTGTTAGTCTGTATTCGCAAAAAGAAAAGGAGGACTTGTGGCACCTTAGAGACTAACCAATTTATTTGATCAATTTATCTGTAGCTCACGAAAGCTCATGCTCAAATAAATTGGTTAGTCTCTAAGGTGCCACAAGTACTCCTTTTCTTTTAGCTACCTTTGAGACACCACTGACTTCCTCAGGATACTACAATCCATCAGTGATCTTCCTGATGACACCATCCTGGCCACTATGGATGTAGAAGCCCTCTACACCAACATTCCACACAAAGATGGACTACAAGCAGTCAAGAACACTATCCCCAATAATGTCACGGCTAACCTGCTGGCTGAACTTTGTGACTTTGTCCTTACCCATAACTATTTTACATTTGGGGACAATGTATACCTTCAAATCAGGGCACTGCTATGGGTACCTGCATGGCCCCACAGTATGCCAACATTTTTATGGCTGACTTAGAACAACGCTTCCTCAGCTCTCGTCCCCTAACGCCCCTATTCTACTTGCGCTATATTGATGACATCTTCATCATCTGGACCCATGGAAAAGAAGCCCTTGAGGAATTCCACCATGATTTCAACAATTTCCATCCCACTATCAACCTCAGCCTGGTCCAGTCCACACAAGAGACCCACTTCCTGGACACTACAGTGCTAATAAACGATGGCCACATAAACACCACCCTATACCGGAAACCTACTGACCGCTGTTCCTACCTACATGCCTCCAGCTTTCACCCTGACCGCACCACACGATCCATTGTCTACAGCCAAGCTTTGCGATACAACCGCATTTGCTCCAACCCCTCAGACAGAGACAAACACCTACAAGATCTCTATCAAGCATTCTTACAACTACAATACCTACCTGCGGAAGTGAAGAAACAGATAGAGCCAGAAGAATTCCCAGAAGTCACCTACTACAGGACAGGCCTAACAAAGAAAATAACAGAACGCCACTAGCCATCACCTTCAGCCCCCAACTAAAACCTCTCCAACGCATTATCAAGGATCTACAACCTATCCTGAAGGACGACCCATCACACTCACAAATCTTGGGAGACAGGCCAGTCCTTGCTTACAGACAGCCCCCCAACCTGAAGCAAATACTCACCAGCAACTACATACCACACAACAGAACCACTAACCCAGGAACCTATCCTTGCAACAAAGCCCGTTGCCAACTGTGCCCACATATCTATTCAGGGGACACCATCACAGGGCCTAATAACATCAGCCACACTATCAAAGACTCGTTCACCTGCACATCTACCAATGTGATATATGCCATCATGTGCAAGCAATGCCCCTCTGCCATGTACATTGGTCAAACTGGACAGTCTCTACATAAAAGAATAAATGGACACAAATCAGATGTCAAGAATTATAACATTCATAAACCAGTCGGAGAACACTTCAATCTCTCTGGTCACTCGATTTCTGATCTCAAAGTTACTATCAACAAAAAAAATTCGAAAACAGACTCCAACGAGAGACTGCTGAATTGGAATTAATTTGCAAATTGGATACAATTAAGTTAGGCTTGAATAGAGACTGGGAATGGTTGAGTCATTATAAAAAGTAACCTATTTCCCCTTGCTTATTCCTTTCCTTCCCCCCACCCACTGTTCCTCAGACGTTCTTGTTAAACCCTGGATTTGTGCTGGAAATGGCCCACCTTTATTATCATACACCACGGTATGCATCCGATGAAGTGAGCTGTAGCTCACGAAAGCTCATGCTCAAATAAATTGGTTAGTCGCTAAGGTGCCACAAGTACTCCTTTTCTTATTGTAAGGAGAGTGATCACTTTAGATAAGCAATTACCAACAGGAGAGTGGGTTTGTTTTGGGGGGGGAGAGAAAACCTGGATTTGTGCTGGTAAACACCCACCTTTTATCATATACATGGTATGGTGAGGTTTCAAAAACATCTGTAGTCTGTATTTTCCAAAGAGGAGATTATGGCACCTTAGAGACTAACCAATGCATCCGATGAAGTGAGCTGTGGCTCACGAAAGCTCATGCTCAAATAAATTGGTTAGTCTCTAAGGTGCCACAAGTACTCCTTTTCTTATTGTAAGGAGAGTGATCACTTTAGATAAGCAATTACCAGCAGGAGAGTAGGGTGTGGGGCGGGGGGGAGAGAAAACCTTTTGTAGTGATAAACACCCATTTTTTTCATGGTTTGTGTGTAAAAACATCTTCTGTATTTTCCACAGTATGCATCCAATGAAGTGAGCTGTAGGCTCACGAAAGCTCATGCTCAAATAAATTGGTTAGTCTCTAAGGTGCCACAAGTACTCCTTTTCTTTTTATTATATTATTGTAAATCTCCTTTCTGCTAGCAGTCCAAAGCCTGTATAACTGACTACCTGATAATGATTTTTAACCATGTTTATACAGTACTTCGAAAATCTACCTGACTCTGCAAGTCTAAATGTTATTATTCAAATAACTGGTTCACTGATACCAAGTAAAAGCCTTGTGTGCATTAAAAACATGTATGTTCTAAGGAGCCTGCCCTGCCCGCAGTGCGCACCAGGCTGGACCTGCCCCCAAACCCCTCCTGCAGCCAACCCCCCTGCTGCACCCCACACCTCCATGCACCCCGACACCCTGCCCTGAGCCCCCTGCCACACCCCACACTGCTGCCCTGAGCCCCCTGACACACCCCACAGCCCTCCTGCACCCCAACCCCCTGCCCTGAGCCCCCTGACACACCCCACACCGCTGCCCTGAGCCCCCTGCCGCACCCCGCATACCTCCTGCACCCAAACCCCCTGCCCTGAACCTCCTGCCACACCCTGCACCCTGACCCCCTGCACCCCAATCCCCTGCCCTGAGCCCCCTGCCACATCCTGCACCACTCCTGCACCCCCTGGGGGCAGGGAGCAGCGGAGTTGGGATGGGGATTTCAGGGAAGGGGTTGGAATGGGGGCAGGGAAGGGGTGGGAAGAGGCGATGCAGGGGTGGGGCCTCATGGAAGGGGAGGAGTGGGGGCAGGGCCAGGGCAGTGGTGGCGGGTGGTCAGTGGTGCGGTCCTCAGGCCAATCGTGGTCATTTGAATTTGAGACTTCTGATTTAAATGCTTACTGTATATCTATAACTGAGATAATCTTCTCTCACTGCATTTAGTTGGTAGAGCTTCATGTTTTTTATGTCCCAGAAGAAGTGTGGAACTTCACATTAAATACAGTTTCTGCAGCTCTTACTAGCAAATTCATTTCAGCTGGATTTATAAGGTGAGTAATTCCTAAATAATGACGAAAAACGCTGCTTTAGACCCCAATCCTTCATACACGTATGCCTGTGAGTAATTCCTTTATACAGTGCTTCAGCTAATCCATGCAGCTGAATAGCTCTGTAGGGAACCATTGCAGCACCGCATTAGCTAGAACAGTCCTTGATGTTCCTGTTCTGTGGTCGCTTCCAGATTCCAGGAGATACAAAGGTGGCACACAGCCAACTTTGCTTTTCTTGGGCTACACGAAACTTAGCTGCACCACAGCCAAGAATCTGGACCACTAAAATGCATTTCCAAAAGGGGAATTAGTGAAAGAGAGAGAGAGAGAGAGAGTGCCTCCCTTTTAAAAAGACATGGTGTTGGACAGGTGGTTAGACAGCAACATGAATTCCACAATTGGAATGTTTTTTATTCATACAACTTGGAATGTTTGCCTGTCCATATTTATTGTCCTTTGTGTAACTTAGACTCCAATCCTGCATTGAGCTCTGCTTGGAACCTATTAAAATTGATAAAAAGAAAAGGAGTACTTGTGGCACCTTAGAGACTAACCAATTGTAGCTCACGAAAGCTCATGCTCAAATAAATTGGTTAGTCTCTAAGGTGCCACAAGTACTCCTTTTCTTTTTGCGAATACAGACTAACACGGCTGTTCCTCTGAAACCTATTAAAATTGATGTGGCTCTATGTGTGCATAGGGTCTACCTGGGCAGAGCTCATTGCAGAATCTGGGCCTAAATTTCTAAAATATTTTTACCAGACCTTGCAACAGAAAGCAAAAGATTAACCTTTAACATTTTTTATTTTCTGAATGTTTTCTCCTTTGTAACATACAAGTTATTAAGGATGAAACCCTAACCCCTTTGCAGTCCTGAGAGTTTTGCCATTGATTTCACCACTAAAAGTCTAATGAGTTTAAGAAAAGGAAGTGAATGCTATAGTTAATTTAACTTGAAAGAAGACACTGTCTGACATGCTTTAAAACAGGGGTCTGAAACTCAAATGACCATGAGGGCCACATGAGGACTAGTAAATTGGGCCCCAGGGCTGCCCTGCTGCCCTGGCCCCGCCCCCACTCCACCCCTTTTGTGAGGCCCCGCCTCTTCCCATCCCTTCCCTGCCCCCATTCCAACCCCTTCCCTGAAATCCCCACCCCAACTCTGCCCTCTTCCTGCCCCCAGGGGGTAAAGGATGGGTGCAGGGTGTGGCAGGGGGCTCAAGGCAGAGGGTTGGGGTGCAGGGTGTGGCAGGGGGCTCAGGGCAGGGGGTTGGGGTGCAGCAGGGGGCTCAGGGCAGGGGGTTGGGGTGCTGGAGGTGTGCAGGGTGTGGCAGGGGGCTCAGGGCAGGGGTTCGGGGTGCTGCAGGTGGCTTAAGGCAGGGGGTCGGGGTGCAGGAGGGGTGTGGGGTGCAGCAGGGAGCTCAGGGCAGGGGGTTCGGCTGCAGGAGGGGTTCGGGGGGTGGGTCTGGCCCGGCGCACACCGGGGGCAGGGCAGGGGAGGGCAGACTCCTTGCCTGCCTGCCCTGCCCCTGCACTGCTCCAGAAGCGGCCAGGACCTGAGGGGGAGGGGCCACAGGGGTCTGTGTGTTGCCCTGGCCGCTCCTCCAGGTACCTCCCCCGAAGCTCCCATTGGTCGCGGTTCCCCATTCCCGGCCAATGGGAGCTGCGGGGGGGAGGGCGGTGCTTGGAGGAGCTGCCAGTGCAACACACAGACCCCTGTGCCCCCCCCCCGCCCGCCTCCCTCGGGTCCTGGCCCCTTCCCGGAGCGGCACGGGGGCAAGGCAGGCAGGCAAGGAGCCTGCCCTGTCCCCGGTGCGCACTGGACTGGAGCCACTCTAAGTAAATGCTGGGGGGTGCTGCGGAGAGCTGGCGGGCCACAGAAAATAACCCTGCGGGCCGTGTGTTTTAGACCCCTGCTTTAAAAGAATGTTACCCCTGACTTGCTACTGAAGGCAGGTCATGTTGGTGTGAATGACCAGCTGAAGCCCAATCCACTCACACTTAAAGCAGGATTGAGCCCTAATCTGTGATCACAGGTAAGGAAGGGTACTATAGTCTTTACTCACAAGAACAGTCATTAGGAACCCTGAGGGTGCAAAGAAGTTACAGAAGATCAAAATGATCTAAAGGTAATAGGTACCATCAAGCAGTCTAATAAATTGAAATGTTCACTTGCATTATAAGCTCTCTGCATACCAAAAGGATAGCTAGTTGTCCTTGTCACATGAGCCCCAAAAGAACTTCTTACAAAGCATGGAGGGATGCCAAAGTAAATATTCTCTCACATTCTTTGTGGAGCTTTGAGAAGAAAACTAATCACTGATGGAGATCTTGCAATGTAGAAATCAAGTTTAAAATAGCAAAGCAACCCAGAGTGTGGGTATTGCACACAAATTGGGGTATTAAATTATGTACATGTTTAGCTTATGGTAAACGTATCAAATGTTTATTATGGTAATGTTTTGATGTTGCAGTGAACATTGTATCTGTGTTTGCATTATATGCTCCAGCTTTATTTTCAAGAGTTGCTATGTGGGCTGCAAAAATTTGCTGTTAGCTAAATCTTGACACTCAAAGGTTTAGAGAAAGAATGAATATTTTCTTTTTAAGGTAAAACATTAGATTTTTTTTCTACATGATCGGAAAGAAAAAAATAGTAAATTTGTCTGTTTTCAGATAAACTCCTGTGCTCTAATTAAATAACAACATTGTTTTTCAAATTGAAATTTTCTAGCCTACCTGTCTAGCCTTAAAATATACAAGGACATAAGACAAAAAGTCAGCTCTGGCTCATGAGATGATTTCTGAAATATTTCATAAAGTCATTATGTCACAATACCATCCCAAAAGGTCCCGTGCTGTGGGAAACCATCCCTGAAGGATGGACAGCAAGTGAAGGCAAAGTATATGAGGAGGCAGTCAACCAAAGAGAGGCTAAATTCCCAAGTAGAACCTTGCATTCTCATTTGGTTGGCTCTGTCCCATTTCTATTCTACTCTACCTTGGTATCAGTGGGCTTTTCTACACTTAAAACGTTACAGCAGCACAGCTGTCCCTCTGCAACTTCACTGCTGTGGCACTTCTGTGTAGTCCCTACCTATTGCTGATGTGAGGGATTCCCCTGTCAGTCTAGGTAATCCACCTCCCCAGGAGGCAGTAACTAAGTCTACAGAAGAATTCTTCAGTCAATCTACAACTGTCCATACGGAAACTTAGGTCGGCTTAACAATGCTGTTTAGGGGTGTTGATCTTTCACACCTGTGACCCAGGTAGTTAAACAACCTAATGTTCTAGTGTAGACCAGGCCTAAGTACCTTCCAGTAGCGCATTAAGCACCATAGAATCATAGAAATGTAGGACTGGAAGAGACCTTGATAGGTCATCTAGTTTAGTTCCCTGCACTGAGACAGGGCTAAGTATTATCTAGACCAGGGGTCTCAAACACGCGGCCTGCGGGGTTATTTTCCGCAGCCCACCACTCCCCCAGCATTTACCTAGAGCAGCTCCCATTGGCCGGGAACAGGGAACCACGGCCAATGGGAGCTTCGGGGGAGGTACCTGGAGGAGCGGCCAGGGCAACACACAGACCCCTGTGCCCCCGCCACCCAGGTCCCTGCCTCTTCCCGGAGTGGCGCGGGGGCACGGCAGGCAGGCAAGGAGCCCTGCCCCCAGTGCGCACCGGGCCAGACCCGACCCCTGAACCCCTCCTGCAGCCAGACCCCCTGTCCTGAGCCCCCTGCTGAACCCCGTACCCTTCCTGCACCCTAACCCCCTGCCCTGAGCCCCCTGCCACACCCTGCACCCCCTGGGGGCAGGGAGGGGGTGGAGTTGGGGTGGGATTTCAGGGAAGGAGTTGGAATGGGGGCACAGAAGGGGTGGGAAGAGGCAGGGCAGGGGAGGGTCCTCACGGAAGGGGTGGAGTGGAGGCGGGACCAGGGCAGGAGGTGGTCAATGGTGCGGCCCTCGGGCCCATGTACTAGTCCTCATGTGGCCCTCATGGTCATTGAGTTTGAGACACCTGATCTAGACCATGTCTGGCAGGTGTTTGTCTAACCAGTTCTTAAAAACCTCCAGTGATGGAGATTCACAACTTCCCTAGGTAATTTGTTCCTTACAGTTCAGAAGGTTTCCTAATGTCTAACTTAAATCTCCTTTGCTGCAGTTTAAGCCCATTACTTCTTGTCCTGTCCTCAGTGAAGAACATTTTATCACCTTCCACATACTTGAAGACTGTTACCATGTCCCCTCTGAGTCTTCTCTTCTCCAGATTAAACAAACCCAATTTTTTCAATCTTTCCCTGTAGGCCATATTTTCTAGACCATTAATCATTTTTGTTGCTCTCCTCTGGTCTTTCTCCAGTTTGTCCACTAACATGATTAACATCTGTCACATATTTTTGTTCTCTCATCCTTCTCTGGGGAAGAAGTGTGTGCTGTGGAGTTTTTTGTTTAATAACACACATGCACATACATTCCTGTATGTTTCTATAGAGAAGGCAAGATGCACTTTGCATTTAGAGAACATCTGTGATACTCCTTTGTTCCTAGGGGAATTGATTCCGCAGTTTTGGGCCAGCCACCAAGAAAGTTCTGTCTTTTGCACAGATACCCTCATTGTAGTTCCCAGTAATTTTGTCTTCTAGTGTCAGACAAGCAAAAGTGTTTCCCACACTTTTTTCAAATTGCAGGTCCTGCCCCTTTGCTTTTTGTATGGATAAGTGAGATGTGAACACTTCTCAGGTAGTTTTGTGATCACATTTGATTCGCAGTATTATCATATTGTGATGCACCATCATGACTTTGAAACACTAAGCCTGTCTGATCTGGAAATACAACATTTCAGGCACATTCTCACATTGCAAACTAAATAGCCATCATCATTTCTTACAAATGTAATAATGAATAATGGTTTTCTAGGGTGCCTCGTCATGTCACACTGAGGGTACTGCGGGAGCAGCTTGGAGACTTCCTGGGTGAAGATGCTGTTGCAGATAAGTTTATATTTCTGAAACATATAGGGAAAAAGCTAGCAGTGGTAAGTTATTTCTGCATTTTCCCTAGATTTTTTCTTTTGCGTTTTTTTTTTTTTTTGAAACTGGATATTTGGCAACATTTTATACCTTTTCCCCCATTAAACTTTTCTGAAGCAAAACAGGGAAGATTTTCCCCTGCTCTACTGAGATTGTCACATATTTAATAAAGTATTTTTTATTTAATAGTTAGAAAATTAAAATATCCTAGCATAGATAACTGGACATTTTTAGCACCAAGCTGTAAATATTGATTTAATCTTGTGAATTTTAAAGTAGTCCTATGCAGTTGGTATTATCTTCCTGTTTGTTTGGGGTCATGGTAACCTCTTGTATTTATATCTCTGTGATCAAATATTTGCTGAGTTTTTCAGTTCTGCTGTTTCACAACAGTAACAATTTAAGCTATTCCAAGAGCTGCACCTTTCTTACAAAGTAAGGGGCATTTGAATTAGGAAAACACGTTAATTTTTTTTTTAATAATTTGTAAGTGAAATCGATGTTATTGCCTTTGAGTAACTGAGAGCAGAATTTTGTCCTATATTTAGTTTAATTGAATTTATTTAATTGGTTAAAGACAGGGTTAAATAGAAGTTCAGATTTCTTATTCTCCATAAGACACACTGATTTCGAATGTGCTCTTAAATATGCATTGATCACCTGAGATTTTGTTTATTAAGAGGACTAAGTGAAAATCTGAAAAGGATGTAGCCAAAGATATCAAGACAACTAATAAAAAATTCCTTAAGCACAATAGAAGTCTTCAGGAGAGTCAGTGGATTCTTTTTCTATATTAAAATATTTGTTTTAACAATTGAATTGAGAGAACCATATTACTTAACACACACTTCCTATTCAGACTGGGCCTAATCCAACTCCTAATGAAGTCAACAGGGAGTCTTTCCACTGACTTCAGCTGGGAGTTGGCTAAGGGCCTTTGAGCCCTAAGTGAAAGCGTAATGGGTGAAGATATTTATAAAAATACACACACGCTCCTGTTGGGCTGATTATAGCACACATTTTGAAGTCTGACAAAAGTACTAATGAATAGATGCCATGTCAGAAAACAGAGAATTGTCATCTATGTTATTCCCACCCAAAGTGCTAGTGTAATAAATGTAATTTGTCATATGTAACTTACCAAGAAAATAACATATACAAATCGATTGGTATGCTGCATACCTTTTATAGAAGTTATTTTGTTGATTTTACTTGCTTTTTTATGTTCCAAGGTGAAGGCAAAACAAGAAACAGAACTGAAACTCAAGTTATTTGCTCCCCCACATGTACGTATCATACAGTTTTCAAGTTATCATTTCAAGTGTGCAGTTCATGTCGCTTATTTCTTCCTTGTCTAATTAACACATTGTATGTTTTAGGCACTTCATCCCGAATTATATTTGCTCCCTGGAGTGGACCACTTAGAAATTGCTTATTCATCATCATCAACTCCAGATACACAGCACTTTAATGTAGAATCCCATAGGTCTCCCCATGGACCAAGTACTTTAAGTCTTCCAAAGAAAAAGCCTGAAAAAAGTCCAACATTTCTAGAAGGTCCACAGAAACATACTCTCAGGCAGAATCAGGAAGATTCTAGCTCTTTAGAATGGAGTGAGACAGCAAAAGAAATGATTCCAGTTTTGCACATAAAACCTGAACAAAGCCTGAACAACAGGACTCAGGAAAAAAAGATTCCACATAGAAGGAAAGGTAAGATTTAACTAGTATGGGGAAGAGAGAATGAGATGCTTAGGTACAGACCTAAACAGGAACTAAAAAGAAAATGGCCAATTACACCATAAATCCAAACAAATACAAACCTGTTGAAATAACGTTGTAAGAAGACTGACTTAAATGATCAAATTCAGATCTGAAGATGAAGCCATTTCCTTCACCTCACTATACCATACTAACAGTCAAATAATTTACTTCTTTGTACTTCGCCTTTGGTGATTTTTGTTGTTGTTGTTCAGATTGACTTATAAAAGAAGGGAAATGGATTTCTGCTCTTTTTTGCCTGATTAGAATGCACAAAGTAGTCCTGAAAGGGTGATTTTTGTTTGGGGTTGTATTTCTTTCATTTTTTTTTTCAGATTAATTTTTACATTACAGTACAGATCTTTTCTTCTCTGGGAGAGACTGTGGATAGCTGGAGAATTGGTATGGTTATGACATCAGGGAGGTCATGCCATTAAAACTTGATTAATTGAGATTTAAAACTTTGTTGTTTGTTTTGGTGATAACACACACTTAAACCAAAATACTCTACAAAAGGAGGGAAGAAAAGATCTCTTTCAAATATTTAACACACGGCCCTTTGAGTTAAGGGCTGAGAAACCTCACAATATACATGAGGGACCTCCAACATGTTCTCCATCAAAGCTAGAGAAGATCAGACTTGATGTTTCTTTTGCTGTTTCAAGCCTTTGTATTTTATAAGGAAGCTGAAAATAAAGAAGCGTGATGCTATCTGAAGTGGCTCACAACCGTGAGTGCTGATCTCAGGTCAGACTGTCAGAAAAAAAGGGCAGACTCTTCAAACTGGTGGTGTATCTATAATTAGATTTCACCAAGCCAGTAACATATGTGCATGCCTGGATCACTATATTAGTCTTCCCATGGAGTCACAAACAGTCCCCCTACCTTGCCACCCAGACAAACTGGACTTTATGATATTGGTCACGATACCAAATATCACATCATGTGAGGGGTTACTCCCAGCTCCAAAGGGCCAGTCACTTACCCAGGTCAAGTTGGTACTCCAGATCTCACCAAAGACAATGCTGAAGCCAATTTCTCTAATAAGCTAATTAAGGCCATGTCAACACTTAAAAGCTCACAGTGGCACAGATGTACCGATACAGCTGCGCTGCTGTAAGATCACTGGTGTAGCCACATTATGCCAATGAGAGAGAGCTCTCCTGTCAACTTAATAAAACTAACTCAATGAGCGACGGTTGCTATTTCAGCGGACGAGCATCTCCTGCCAACATAGTGCTGTACACATGAGCACTTATGCGGGAAAAAACTTACGTCACTCGGGGGCGGTGGTTTTTTCACACCCCCGAGTGACAAAAGTTTTGCCGACATAAGCGCTATTGTAGACATGGCCTAAAGGTTTATTCGCCAATAAAAATAAATTAGAGTTATTGAGAGGTTAAAACAGGTTAAATACATTAATAGGTGAGTCCAAATTTGTAAGTCCAAAGTGATAGCAGAAATGTGGTAATCTGCAAGTGTTCTATAAATTTCTCGTGGTTACCCACAGTAATTCTGGGGATCTCAGTCCACTTGTTCAGTATTTCACCCTGTTAGAATTCAAAACACTTCAAAGATACAGGTAAGGTTGCCAGCTTTCTAATTGCACAAAACTGAACACCTTTGCCCCACCCCTGCCCTGCCCCCCCACTCGCTCCAACCCTCTGCCCTTCTTCTGTTGCTCGCTGTCCTCCACCCTCACTCACTTTCACTGGGCTAGGGCTGGGGTTTGGGAGCGGGAGGGGATGCCGTGTGTGGACTCCAGGAGGGGGCTCAGGGCTGGGGTTGGGCTGCAGGAGGAAGTGCAGAGAGTGAGCTCTGTGAGGTGGTTTGGGTGTGAGAGGGGGTTCTGACCTGGGGCAGGGGTTTGGGGTGCAGGGTCTGGGAGGGAATTAGGATGCGGGAGGGGATTCCAACTGGGGGCAGAGGGTTCAGGGTGCAGGGTCCAGCCCAGTGACGCTTACCTCAGGCGGCTCCCGGTCGATGGCGCAGCAGGGCTTAAGGCAGAGTCCCTGCCTGCCCTGGCTCTGTGCTGCTTCCGGAGGCGGCCGCCATGGCCGGCCAGTTCCCAGCCAATGGGAGCTGCAGAGGTGGCCCTCGGGATGGGGGTGGTGCACAGAGCTTTCCTGACCGCACCTGTGCCTAGGGGCTACAGTGACATGCCGGTCACTTCCAGGAGCTGCATGGAGCCAAAGCAGGCGAGGAGCCTACCTTAGCCCCACTGCACCGCCAACCCTACTTTTAACGGCCTGGTCAGCAGTGCTGTCCGGAGCCACCAGGGTCGCTTTTCAACCGGGCGTTCCTATCAAAAAACAGACGCTTGACAACCCTAGATACAGGATCGATCCCTGGATCCATTCTTTTAACATCTTTTCAGGAAAGGCAATCTGGCAGCCATATTCATTTACAGCATGGGCTCTTCCTTTGTTGATTAAATGCAAACAGAGTCTGTGAATATCCATTGTCAAACAAAATGACCCATGCTTTGAAGTTAGCAATCTTTTACATTTCCAATGCGCCAATCTTGTGTGATGGATAAATGTAATGTAAACACATTGTGACAGCCAGAAACAATCCTTCATTAGTTTTCATCAAGTAAATTCCCATCTTAATACTAACACACAGTTTTGATCTAGGGTTAATTAAGTGCAGGGATATACATAATTTAATGCGATTGCATTCAACAGGTTACAAATAAGTGAAGACAATAACATTAACACTTTTTTTTATATCCACACACAAGTTAACTGTCCTATTCCTCCTTTGATATTCACACACAAGTGAATTGGTCTGTGGCTTTAATTTGAGCTGGTCTGTCAGCATCACAAGCACAATCCCATTTTCTTCCCTGAGAAGGCTCAAATTAGGGAAACGACAATTGGTTGGAAGTAGGAGAAGGATATTTTCACTGGGATGTACAGGGGTTAAATTGGCAGCCTAAGAAATCCAGCAGGTGTGTAATTTGTGCCACCTATTTTCCATTCCCGGGTTCTTGAGAGCCTCTCTTGCATAGGCAGCATGATTAGTAAAACAGATGGCACAAGATCTGAAACTGATGCAGACTTGGCAAGGTGTACAACCGATAAGTCCTATGATGTTTTATAGACTTGTTTCCTGACCTGTTGTTTATCACCAAGATCTCTATGGTCTGAGAGTCTGTACTGTGACCATGAATTCCACTGAGAGCACTGAGTTTAGGAAGCAGGGACATTTCTTTTGAGGGGCCTGTATAACCCTGAAATTCTCTCTTTCTGTCATTGGTATCATTTGGGGAAAGCTCAAAATCTATTTGTTTCCTTTTAATTTTGTATATGTGGTTTGATTATACTTATTCCTTACTGCTTTGCTCTGAGACATACTTGGGATGTGTTGCTCTTTTGTGAATATCACTTTTAGTTTGTTTTCATTTACTAAGGCTTTCAAAGGTTTTCAGCTATTGGACTCTGAAGAAAATAAAATGTATGATTATTAACATATTAAAGGGCACATTTAAAATTGTGTATTTCTTTTCCCATGTGAAACTGGTCCATTGTAATGCAGACCAAACTGGATCCAATGGATCTCTCCACATACCAAGTAGTTTAAATCCCACGAAGTGGGAACCTGGAAAAAATCCTACATCTTTGGAAAGTGCTCAGAAAAATCATCTCAGCCAGGATCAGAAAGAATCTAATACACTTAGGTGGAGCCAGAAAGACAAAGGGACTCTTTCAGGTCATCATGTAAAACAGAGCATTGAACAAGCCAAGAACAATGAGACTCAGGAAAATCACATTCCCCCTGGAAAAAAAGGTATGATTAATTAAGTTGTCTACTCTTTAAGGGTGCTTTTTAGAAAGGGGGCATATAAAGCTAAACAAGAGTAAAAAAATCTCTAATTTCACTATGAAAACTGTTCAGACAATGTTATAAGAATGATGTGGAATCACAAAAACAAAGGAATCCAATTCTTTCCTTCACCTCACCCTGTTGTGCCAAAGGCACCGTAAAATGCTCTTTAACTGCATCCACTGTTTTGAGACCCTTGCAATATGTATGCCCAGTTACGTAAATTAATGGAATTTCTGCATAAACTCTAAATTTTATTGTGGAGAAATAGTAGTTAAAAAGTTTGAAGCCAGTTTCTGTTATAAAAAACACTTTGACTTCCGCTTTCCTAATTTCCTCAAAATCTACCTGAAATTTTGCAGCCATTAATTTATGTTGGGGTAGAATTTTTCTGGAAAGTTTGAAGGAAAATGGAAAAGGCCTTTGGGAAATAAGGTTAAAAAAATGAGGTGAGCTTGTTTCTTGAACATTTTCTTGAATTTGTTTAGCTCATCATAATTCCAAAATGGTTTGGTTTAGAAACTCTGAATTTGCTTTAATCTGTTAGCGTTTGAGATGAAGAGATTGGGAGGCAAACTTCCATGTTTTTCAGAATTTCTAGGTTAATTTCAAGACTAGGTTTTTTTTGACTGAACCAAAGTGTTCCCTTAAGGAATTAATAGATGTTTACAGTATTAATTTAAGTTTAAGAAAGTTTTCTTTCTCATCTGGAATTTATCATTTAACCAGATGTACTAGAACCTTCAGATGGTAAATGTAAACGTTTATTACAATCCGTAACTAAAATCCTGATTCCATTGAAGTCAACAGCAAATCTTCTATTGTCTTAAGTGAGGCCAGGATTTCATCCATAATTTTTACACCATATGCCTCCAACTGTACTGGTTAATATATGGCATGAAATATGAGTTTATGTCAAGGTCCAATTGTCCCATTTATCCTTCACATATATGTATTTCTTGTTCCCCATTTTACTGATATGATTTCCTCAACATTTTCAAACACAAGTTCCTAAAATTAAGCTCTTAAATCCATTGTACCTGCAATACCCAAAGAGTTCAGTGTAGATGTTCAGCATCCCTGAAAATAAAAATATTTTATTCAGATGCCTTATAGATTTAGGAGCCTAAATTTAGACACCTGACTTTCAAAAATTTGACTTACAAATATAGTTTTGTGGGTACACTAATATCTTAATTTCCACAGTGCATAGATGTTTCCTCATATACCTTGTCAAATACACAGTGAGATTTTTGTTATTTTTTGGGAATGTCATTTACAGAAAAGGTCTAAAGATCTAAAAGCTATGGGTGCTAATGGGTTCTGGATCAGGCCCAAATTACACACTCAGAACTCCCATTGACCTCAATAAAAGTTTTGCCTAAGAACTGAAAGATGGGACCCAAAATTTTTAACCTGTGATATCAAGGCTCATTATATAATACATAAAGAAAGTGATTGAGCAATTAATCTGTAGACAGCTGCTTTATTGAGCTATTTTACACTTTAAAATGAAAGCCTTTTATGATTCTCCAAGAAAAAACTTTCAAAGATCTGCAGCTATGATTTATCCTGGCTGAGCCCTCCTTCATCCCTGACTACTGATACGGGTTACTGATACTGATACTACATGCTCAGGTTTCAGAGTAACAGCCATGTTAGTATGTATTCACAAAAAGAAAAGGAGTACTTGTGGCACCTTAGAGACTAACCAAATGCTCAAATAAATTGGTTAGTCTCTAAGGTGCCACAAGTACTCCTTTTCTTATTGTAAGGAGAGTGGTCACTTTAGATAAGCTATTACCAACAGGAGAGTGGGTTTGTGTGTGTGTGGGGGGGGAACCTGGATTTGTGCTGGAAATGGCCCAGCTTGATTATCCATACACATTGTAAGGAGAGTGATCACTTTAGATAAGCTATTACCAGCAGGAGAGTGGGGTGGGGGGAGGTATTTTTTCATGCTTTGTGTGTATAAAAACATCTTATGTATTTTCCACAATATGCATCCGATGAAGTGAGCTGTAGCTCAGGAAAGCTTATGCTCAGATAAATTGGTTAGTCTCTAAGGTGCCACAAGTACTCCTTTTCTTTTTTCTTTAAACATGCTCAGTGGATTTTTGCATGAAAAGACTTTATTTCCATATGATAATTAGGAGCAATAAATTATTAAAATCCGTTATCAAGAATCTGAATTAGAATACGATAACGGGGAAAGTAATTTCATTCACTTCAGTTTTCATTTTTAACGATATCTACTGCAATTTACATTTAGCCATGCTCTTAGCACTCAGAAAAGGAAAATATTTCTACAGTCCTCCCACAAAGTAGAATTTGAATTTGCTTTTACAATATTAAAGTTTGACTCCTAAAACTGAGAATTGAACATTTTCTCTGACTAGACTAGAATGGAAATAGTACAAAGGTGTGGGTGGGATTAAAGCAAAAATAAAGCTAACAGTTATATGCCAGAATTGAAAATGTTTTTTTGAAAGAGATCTGTCAGCTACACATTTTCGTCTAACACTGGATGGTTGCTGAGTACTGGAAGCCAATATTTATAGTAGTCTCTTCAGAATGGTCTACTACATTACTCTACTACCCGATTTAAAAGGAAATAATTAATTCAATGGGTATAGTTGGATGGTAAGTGACAACTGATGTAACGTTAGTAGCTTGCCTATGACCATCTTCTTGTCTTTCATTTCTGAAGAAGACATAGTTTAAAAAGTTCTAATTAATTCTTTGTTTAGCATCCATTCTGATTAAATTACAGTTTTAAATCACATTGTTAATACAACATTCAAAATCTGAACAAAAGAGTTTTTACAGTCAAATATAAAAACCTTACATTGTCCTACCTTAGCATTAGCTGATAAAACTTGTACTGAGAAACTACTAGATGCATTAATATTCCAAGTTTTCAAGTGCACCGGCACTATTAAATGTTAATTTAGGCAAACCCCTGGATGTCCAGCAATTTGGATTAGCACCCAGTGGTTTGGACACTTATCAAAGTTTTAGCCAAATTTCTGTTTTACACTGGAAAAAAAATGATGGTTCAGAGAATCCAATCCCTCTTTTAATGTTGCACATTTTCACGTGTTTTCAAAAACTCTAAGATTCTTTAATTATATAAAGAAATATAAGAAAATATAAGAAAAAAGAAAAAAATATAAGATTGTATTTTGTTTGAAAGGAGTGCATCCTCTGAATCAATATTTTCATTTTGAACATTGGATCTTAATGTAATTGTCACTCATTTTTAATAACATTGCAAATATATAGATTTGATTTAGACAAAATCAGAATCTGCTTTTGAAGTCAGACACTGGAAGTGTAAATTACTGGATTATCTTTTTAACGATAAAAAATCAGGAAATGTTCAAAATCATATTTGTATGCAGTGTAGTTGACAATTTCATTTTATTTTCCCTAAAGCAAAACAGTGAGCTTTCCAGTTTTTCTTAATGATGCTAACAAGACCTATTTTTAACTTGGTCCTTTTGATGGGCCATTAGTAAAGTCTAAAGGGACCCTTGAATATTGTATATGTTGCCTAAATATTCTGTACTTTGCTGTAGAAGAAATCCCTACAGTGGTGGGTGCAAATGTGGAAAATAGATGCAATCTAAAAGCTATCAGGATGGGAAGAAACACTACAGGGGATTCTGAAATTCCAGAATCATTGGAAGATGGAGACAAGGAATATTTGCACAATAAGAAAAGGTAATAATCGTGAGTGGTTACACTGACAAAACATTTCATTAATGGAAACTTCTTTAAATACTTCTATTAAATGAAACCAAGGAGAAAAATATACACTTTAATTAAATTTAAGACAAATTTATGTTTTTTAAGTTAATTTTTACTTGGTACTTTTATCTTCAGTCCTCAGCCGTCTGGAATGGGAGAATCTGGGGCTGATAGTGGTATCAAACAGGATGATAAGGTATGTTTCAAAGATAAAGTGTTAGTGCTAGTATAAAGAAATAGATCCATTCCTCCCAGCAGGGAAATTCCCAACTTTGGTTCAGCTGGCTCAGGTTGCAAAGATGCACTCGCTATTCAAATGTAGGGTTCTGTATAACTGGAAACCGTTGAGTCTGCTCTGAAACAAATTTGCAAATGAAAAATATCAACAACTGCTTAAGCAATGAATGAACCCCTCAAAAGTAGGCATTAAAGTGACTAGCAGCTTGTTCCATTGAATAGAGAGTACATTTACTAGGTATTATAATATTTTTTAAATCTTAACTGATTTTGGTCCTGCTCATTACCAACCATAAATATAGATTTATTGACATTGGCTGCTTTTTAGTAATTAGTATCCATTTCCTACTGGCAATATCTTGAAGACCTCATTCAAGTACAAATGCCATTGAAGTGTAATATAAAAAACCACTTACGTTGAGACTTCTGAAAACAACAGGTATAGTATATCTATAAAGCTAAAATTAGAGCATCTTTGAAACAGTGCAGAAGACACATCTGAGGTCCTGAGTACCACTTAAACTCAGAAATTAGAGTTCAAGTGGGTTTAACTCGTACATGTGGGCCTTCTGTAGAGGCGTGACTTTTGATCGTTAGTTGAATTACTTTTGTAGAATCTTACTAAAGGAATTGGACAACACAAAGGCTGCTCTTATGACTTCTGCTATACTTAGAGTAGAGCTGGCTGAAAAAAATTGAAAATTTCAATATTTGACACACTTTTTAACAATTTTTCCCACTTTTTAATTTTCACACAGCTCTGCTTTACAGCAGTTGAAAGTTCTGTTTTTTTTAAAGGAAATGGTTGTTAGTTGTCAGAAGGAACCTCACACCAGCTGGATTGTCTGTGAAGAGTGACTTTTAGTACAAGTTATTTTTATACTATCATAAATTATACAGAGTGTGCGAATACACGTATTTACATTCTTTTTTTATTTTATTAATGATAAAATATAACCACACATAAATATATTTATCACTCAATAAGAAGAAAGCTACATAATAAAAAAGATTACCACAAATCTTTGATTTCAGTATATTTCTCAAGGATAGTGAAAGATTCATTACAGTATCAAAGGATATCTCTTAGAAATGTGTAAGAGAAATGGAAAGCTCATAAAAGTTATCTGAAATGTTAATGTTCAGCTTACTCTGAAATGTGATTTGATAAAATTGGCATTGTGGAGCTTCATGTTTTGTCTCAATGATTTCTATATAAAATGTTCTCTGTTTACAAGTAAAAAGATGTTTTTCTTTCAGCCCTAAAATTCAACCTGGATCTAAGAAAGAAGCTAGGTTCTTTTCTTCTCGTGCATTATCACCAGAAATTAAAGTTCTTTAGGCTAAATTCTGCCATCAGATTTACCTCTGCAGCCCTACTTCTTTCTTTTGGTTTGCAGAGGTCTGACTGACTGGAGCTTAGTAAACAGGTCTTTTGATGACACACAAAAAGAAAGCTCAGTCAAATTCAGACCTCCCATTCACCCATGCATTCTTTTTGGGCAGCACAGATTAAGGGGATGGCTGAGTTTGGCCCCTCATGCATATTAACTTGATTAGAAACGTTTCTCCAAATACAGTACAAGAATTCAAGGGTCAATATTATGCATTTTTATACTTTTCATTTGCCTCTAGACAGATAAGAATAACGTAACTCATCTTGAGTATTCAAGTCGATACATTTCTCCTCCTCCTCCACCGGCTCTTTCTATAAACAGAGCTCAAGTTCCCATATTTCAGACAGAGAGTAAGTATATGCTTCCAAGAAATTACAAGAAATTGAACCTTTATTCAAGATGTGAATGTTTATTTTAAAAGGTGAATTTATAAGTGCAAAGTATTAGTTAGCCCTGGAGCACCCCTGGAGTCGGCGCTATGTACCAGATCACATCTGCCAGCTGAGATAGATGGGCGAATGCCTAGTCCATGAATCTCCCTGGAGCTCAGGTGTGAGCTAGGAGCTGAACTTCTCAGCACCATCAGAATGTAGATGGCTTAGCACATGCCCCAAGACACTTAGGGGATTCTAACAGTGGAAACTTAGGCATCTATAGGATTAGGTGGCAGCTGAGCAGGGGTTCTGCAAATGCCCCTGGCATCTAAGTGTTGGACTTAGGTGCCTAAAAAGGAAGTTTGGTGCCTAAATCCCCTTTCTGAATCTAGCTTCTAGTCACTAACTAACCATTTTGTTGCAGTATATTTAGCAAAATGCTTTCAGCAGGAAATAGCCCTCTTGAGTATCTGGCAACAGTTTTCAGCACATGTAACGTGTTTCTCATGCCTTCCCTTTTAAATATAGTTTTAGTGATGTATATGTATTTAATATGGACATTAGTTCTAATTCATTTATGCATTTATAAATATATATATAACCCTTGTGTGAAGCATTAAGTAGAGGCCAGTGTTAGAGATAGTTTATTGGACTGTGGGAATCCCTACTCTATGTTCCTGCAAGGAGACAAACTGAAAAAGTTGGGCATGCTTTATGATACATGCACTTCACTGAGACATAACTATGGCTGGCCTTTCCCTCTTTTAGCATCCAGAACTTTACTAAGTGTAGGTTGTAATTTCTTTAGAAAGCAAGATGGTTGAACAACTGAAACAAATGAAGGCAGAAAGAAGGCACATGGAAAGAACTAGAGAGGAACTGGTTAAAAAAGTCAAAGGTTTGCTTGAACAAAATAAGCTGAGGAGATATCATGGTATGTTTTTCAATTGTATCATAACTGTGTGAAAGTAAATGTGAAACTTTTTATCTGCCTGTGTCTATGTAGTGTTATAGTATATGCTTAATTACAGAGATAGCAGCTGGAAAAAAATACCGCTCAAAAGGCTCATTTGTGTGACTAAGTATGGTAGAGAGGTCGAGGACTAAAATGTCTGCTCCCATTGATGCTCAGTGGTACTCCTATAAATATCTATGTCCCTAGATATTATGAACCATAGCACCGTTATGTTATCTGTAGAAGTACAGTATTCAGAAGGCATCCATAAACCACATCATAGTGCCAAGCTCATGAGTTAAGCATTCCAAAGTGCTGTTTTTAGGAGTGGTATATGAGGGCATGACAGAAAACTTGTCTGCTACGACCCATACAATTATTAGCGGCACCCAGATACCCCTCTGTTTTACTCCATGAAATAACTGGTGACAAACCTTATTTTTCTATAATAACAGATAAAGCCTATAGAAACAAAATGCATACAGAACATGAACTTATCTGAAAACCAGATCTGCCTCTTTGGCATGGCCCATGCCTTCTTTTGTGCTTGTACATATAAAACATCTTAATTCTTTTCCCTTTCAATTGTTTAAATGATAAATTAATTCTCAAAACAAAAATATGGTAAGTACATTAGGGGAAAACAAGCAATGTAGTAATGCTCCATTTCATAGGTGTCAGGCAGAATGAAAAGAGCTCTGGACAAATCTATGGATTCTGTGAGAACCACACAGGGTACCTTACAGAGTCGCATGCATCTCTACAGCCATATGATGAGTGTCACTGCCCAGAATGGTTAAATATCACAGATACCTAACTGATCTATGGAGAAATATCAATATACAGTAATTATTGATATAGTGCAACCTACATTATACAAAAGTCTCAGTGGACAACTGAAAACTTCAACTCCTGTTGGGCTGGTTTCCCCCTATCATAGAGACAACAGGCCTCTGCAGGCCTGGTTGGTTTTTCATACTTGGGACTTCACGTTTCCAGTAGAGTCCTGCCATTCCATTTATCAACAGCCCCAGGAGTTTTCACCAAGTGCCTTGTGGTAGGCATTTTTAAGATTACAGAGTATTCATGTTTACCTTACCTCAAAGACTGGCTCATTTAAGGAACTTCTCCTTAGCAGGTCTCAGACAAACATCCATTACATCCTTGCATTCTTTGCCACGCCAAGGCTTAGGGTAAGCAAGAAGTCACCTGTAGTACCTTTCCAAAAGACAGAATTTGTAGGCGTGCAACAGCATACTTACTGCCCATCAACTGTGAAGTTGTGGCAGAGCTTATGAGTCAGTTACACAGCAATCCTCAGACAACAGTACAGGAATGTCTAAGAATGCTATATTACATGCATTGTGCATGTTTGTCACTCCTCATGCGTTGTTGTATTCAAGACTGGTTGAAGTCCAGCTACCTATCAAGCAAACACCACATCGATATGGTCGTGCAGATACCTCAGGAGGTCCTATTATCATGAGATCGGTGGAAGGATCCTATTCAAGTGTGCAGAAGTGCTCAGTTTTCTTCTCCTCTATACACATTAATGGTAGTAGGGGATGCTTCCAACCTCAGATTGGGAGTGTACTTGAATCAACATAAGACACAGGGACTATGGTCAAGAGCAGAGGTGGGCAAACTATGGCCCATGAGCCACATCCAGTCCGCGGGACCCTCCGACCCGGCCCCTGAGCTCAGTGGCCCCTCCCCCACTCTTCCCCCTCCCGTGCAGCCTCAGCTCACGGCACGGCTGGCACAGTGCTCTGGGCGGGGGCGGAGGGGGCAGGAGCTGCGAGCTCCTGGGGCAGCACAGCTGCAGAGCCCTGGCCTGAGCCGGTGCTTGGAGCTGCGTAGCAGTGCAGCTGTAGTGCCGCCAGCCACTGGTGCTCCAGGCAGCGCGGTAAGGGAGCGGGGGGGTTGGATAGAGGGCTGGGGCACTCGCGGGGGTGGTCAGGGGCCAGGGGTGTGGATAGGGGGCGGGGCGGTCAGAGGGTGGGAAACGGGGGTTGAATGGGGGCAGGGGTCCCAGGAGGGCGGTCAGGAAGGAGAGGGGGGGATGGATGGGGCGATGGGGGGAAGTCAGGGGCAGGGGGTCTGGGGCAGTCAGGGGACGTGGATTGGGCAGGAGTCCCAAGGGGGCCATGAGGGAACAGGGGGATGGATGGAGTAGGAGTGCTGGGGAGGCCGTCAGGGGGCGAGAAGCAGGGTGGGGTCGGATAGCGGTCGGGGACAGGGCCACGCCTGGCTGTTTGGGGAGGCACAGCCTTCCCTAACCGGCCCTCCATACAATTTTGGAAACCCAATGTGGCCCTCAGGCCCAAAAGTTTGCCCGCCCCTGGTCAAGAGACAAGTCTCATCTTCACATAAATATCTTAGAACCCAGAGAAATTTGTTTACTGTATATGACATTCCAGTCTCTAATCCATGGTAAAACAATACAGGCAAGACAAACAGCTTGGCGATGTTTTACGTAAACAGACAAGGAGGAAGCATATCATTTCCGTTATGCCAGGAAGCTGTTAGCGAATGGAACTGGTGCAGCCGACATCAGATTACCCTGACAGCCATTCACCTTCCAGGATTAATATCCTAGCACGGTGTTTCCCAAACTTGGGACACCACTTGTTCAGGGAAAGCCTCTGGCGGGCCGGGCCGGTTTGTTTACCTGCCACATCCGCAGGTTCGGCAGATTGCAGCTCCCACTGGCCAGTTCAAACAAACCGGCTGGGGAAGGAGGAACTCCCTCCCACATAGCTTTTTGCCCTACAGTTAGGGTATTCACCGGGGTTGGGGGAGACCCCCCACTCCAAGTACCCCTTCTACCTGAGGAAAAGAAGGGATTTGAACACGTCTGCTACTTCTCAGGTGGGGCATAGGACATTTTGGGGTGTGTGTTGGGGGGGGGGGGCTCCCTCCATTTCATTGAAGCAGGGGAACTGGATTTTTGGGTTTCCCATCTCCTTGATAAATGCACCGGCCACAAGCGTCAGTGTCATACTTTCTTTCGCACTGGTCCAGTGCCGCTTTCATTATTTTTCCACAGTGGAATGTTTCAACAGGAGAAGCTGAGAAAACCCTCACATCAGTATAGTCTCTAGCCCAATGTTTAGGCCACCTTCTCCAACAAGTAGTAGATTCCCTATTCAAATCCCTTCTTTCAGTGCAGGTGAAGGGGGACTTCAAGGGGGTGTCTCCCATAAACCAGGTAATCTAATGCCAAGGGGGGGGGGGGGGGTTGCACTCAAGAATGCCAAGCAGATGGAAGTGCTTCACTGAAGTCTGGACTTAGATGTGAAACTCTCTGAGAGAAGTGGGGTTTCGGCCATGTCCCACATCTTGGCAGCTCTCATTGATTAGCTTAGGCAGGGAGCCACCTAGCATGTTGGGTTTTGTTAATCCCATTCTAAGGTCCCTATCTAGCCCCACTCATTGTATAGGGGGCGTAGGTGCCTCACTCAGGCTTTGTGAATCCCAGTGATTTTCTAGGCACCTAAAAGGGGTGTGTGGGGGGGGGGGGGGGTTGATGCTGACCACTGCCACACTTACACGCCTTTGTGAATCTAGCAGTCCATGAGTTGCCTGTGCTCTGTGCGTGCGGGATTGGACTCTCTTGCCCAACAGTGTTTTTGGTTTGTGCCTGCCCCCTAAGTGCCCGGACACACACACCTTCACGGGGCATAAAAGGGTGGACAGAGGAAGAACTACCTCGCCGATCTGTTGCCAATGTAGAATCCAGGTGTTACAGGCCCCCAGAGTACTGGCGAAGTAAGGGGAGGTCATGGAACACATAGACAACATCTCTCATAGAACCAGAGTTACTTTTTTGAGGGATTGTCTATATGTAGCACACAGGAGTGGCAAGTTGTATGGGCCTGTGGTGCCTGGGAGCCCGGCTCCACCAATGTTTGGGGCCAGGCCCCTCCCCCAGCCCCAATGCACCTCCCCTGAGTGTCCCTTGGCCCCCACTTGGTGCCCCCATGCACCTCCCCCAGCCCCCGAAGCATCCCTGCCTCTCCCCTGCAGCTCCACTCCACGCTGCTGGCTCTGGGCATCAACTTCCACCGCAGGGTCCTAGTGCCCCCATTCTTAGTGGCAGGGCAGGCTGCCCTTACCTTGCCCTTCCGCCTCGGACCCTTCCCTTTTCCAGCAGGACCCTCCACCAGCACAGGGGGCTCCCCCCGCCCGCAGTCACCGCTCCTGCCCCACGGTGGGCAAGGGGCAGCTCCATCCCTCACCTGCCGTGGGGCACAGCAGGAGGGGAGGAGGCGCGCATGTGATGGCAGCACCACAGGGGAGGCGAGGGGGCTTCCTGGACCTGAGAGGGGCTCTAGGAGCACGTGCAGTGGTGCAGGGTGTGTGTGTGCTTGGGGGGGGGGATCCCCCAGAGCTCACTGCTGCTGGCAGGAAGAGGGCTGGGGGGGGGAATCTCCTCTCTGGCCCCAGCCCCAGGGCAGCCTGCCTGCACCCCAAACGCCTCATGCCCTGCCCCACCCCAGAGCCTGCACCCCACCCCAGCCAGAGCCCTCACCTCCCCTCCCCCCCCCCCGCACCGCTATGTGAGTCCTTGAGGAATGAGCCTTAATTTGAGCATGAGGTCCTAACTTAGTTAACTGATAGCATAATATAAAATAGTCTGAGCTTCATTTAGCTAATTGCTGGAAAGAAATGGCCTAGCTGCTCATTCTTTCAGCTAATGCTACAAATACTCTAGCTGTGCGTCTGACGGGCTGAGTTCTCGTTAACTAAAAAGAAAAGCTGTGATATGTCCGGGGAGTAACGGCTCTTCTGTTATCATTCCAAAGGGGTTTTAGGGAGAAAACAGGTATGTGAATACAGTAGTCCGGTTTACATGAAAATCTGAAACTACATTAGGAACAAATTTTGGCTGGGGTTTAAGGGAGACCTTATCCTTATCAAAACTAGTGTATGATGGCCCTGCCATGACTGCTTGTGGGTCTCCTACTCTATATGCCAGGGTAATTGCCACTAAGAAAGCTCTTTTCACAGAAAGGTAGTATAAAGAACATGATGCTAATGGTTCAAATGGCAGTCCCCATCAATCCAGCTAAAGCCACACTGCAATCTCAGGAGGGAGGTGGCCCCTATGTAGGAGAGAATAGATGTATTAATTCTTTGACACTGTAGGATGTGAAAATATACTGTGATAAGTGGAGATAGTGTACTCTTTTAATAGTGTATTCAGATCACTTTAATCCACATAGATAATTTTAAATCATGGGACTGAATGAGAGAGTTGATGTTGTTCTGCTCAAAGGGCGAATCTTTTCCATTTGGCGTAAGTGAGCTTTGTCAAGGCCTTCCTGCTGTGAATCAAGATGATCTGGACAGCTTTGGAACATGATTTCTCTGTATTAGTCAGGCAGCCAGCATCTAGGCTGTAAGGTACAGAGAAAGTGGGTCTGGCTGGAATGTCTTGGGAGATTATATCCAGATCCAGGGGTAATGTTATTGGAGATTATACTGAGAGTGTTAACAGGTCTGAGAATTATAACTACCTGCACCAAGAGGCTGCAAGCCATATCTATATGTCACCATCTTGTCTGAGCTTCCACACTGTCCTCAGAATTGGAGGGATCAGTGGATAGATATGTTAGCCCTTAAGTTAGCCCAGGAGATGAGCTGAGGAAAAGTGTCCAAAAGAGATCCTGGACTCAGACTCCCTTCTGGAATAAAAGGTATGGCATTTCTTGTTTGTCTCCATCACAAACAAGTCTATGACTGGGTGATCTGATTTGTGAAAGATATGTGATTGACTGAATCCTTTACGGACTATTCATCGTTAAAGGAAGAATGTCTGCTCACGTGATCTGCTGGGACAGGAGCTGCTGCTGCAGCAGGGATAGTGTAGGGTCGGGCTTGTTCTCCAGCCAATTCCATCCTCCCCCCTGCCTCCCCTTTGCACCTGGCTGGGATTAGGGTTGCACGACTGGGGCAACGAGTGCTGCTGCGGACGGTCAGTGCCCCCCCTTGGCATCAGTATATTGCACCCACTGAGGCAGGAGGCTACATCCACCTCTGAATTCTGCTCAGCAACTCTGGACCTGTGGAGTTCCCCAGCTCTGCATAACACATGCTCCTCGTTGGGCTTCTCTTTAGCGCTGGACCTGCAGAACTAGCAAACTTGGTGCTCTTTTGTACCTCTTAGTCATGCAGCACTGCAAAGCTCCACAGGACTGAAACTCTGGTCCTACAGCGTTCCTGCTGCAGCTTCAGAGAACAGATCTAGCCTTTAATTTTAGTTGGCTGGGGTCCAGCTAATGCTGGTTTGACTGAATAGTTAGTGTAATGTTTAGTTTGGCTAAACATTCATTGATTTTTAAAAAAACAATCTTACATTTTTCATACATGTATAAAGCACTGAAGTTGAAGCACACTACAGAAGGACTGTGTGCTGGTCATTATTAATTATTATTATTAATGTACTGTATATTAACCTGATCAAGAACAAAAAGAGCTGTTGTTGTCCTGTATAGCCCGTGATGCATGGAAAAAGAAATACTTTGAAACTAAGAAAGCTACCACTTCATTGGAGGACATTTTAAATAAACTGCGACAAGATTTAGAGCTTTACTACCAAAAGTTACTGTTGCAGCTGGAAGCCAGAGATATCAGGAAACGACCAAACAATTTAACACACATTGCAAACGCCAAGGTAATATCTTTTGTTCATATTTGTCAATTCCTTTCTCTCTTTCCATGAAATTTGGCTTCTGTTATAGAGTATAAATTGTAACAACAAATTTACCACCATAATCCAGAGATTCCAAATTTTACTAATTGTTTCTGAATGACATTATCTGTAAAACAGCCATATGTCCTTCAGAGGTGAGCATAGCCCATCTAATTTAATCAGTGTACACCATTGACCAGGTTTGTTTTAGGGATTTTATATCTAAAAAAAGCTTAATTAGTTTAGAAAACCATTTACCAAGAATAGGAGCATTAGTCCATTTGCATAGTATAAGCCATTCTGTTTGCATAGGCCAAGTGTGGACCATCCCTGCTGATCTTATAAATTACTCTTTGTTTGCCCAGAGTGTTTCATGGAAGTAGTATACCCCCCTATTCCATGAATGCTGGATGAATGCATGAGTGTGCATGGAAGAACACAGTTTACTTCTTTTCCATATGGTAACAACTTGTTTAGTTTTGTATAAACTAGTATATTTTTAACGTAACAGATTTTTCCATGAATGAATTCTATGTATCACGCTTTGTATGCTGGTGTAAAGATGTTCCAAATGCTTGTGTACAACAGCACAGCCATAGCTCTGTGTGTACACTGGGCACAAATATCCTTTAGGAAGTATGCAATCTTTCTGCATGAACTTACTCTGTTGAAGAAGTAGGGAAATAGTAATCTCGGTCTAAATGCCTTTGGTGCACTTGCACTTTGAAAATTGGGGGTAGCTCTGAAACCCACATTAGCAGAAGGAATTGGTGAGAGTTAAGGGAAGAGTAAACTAAACTGGTCAGATAGACTGAGGAAAAGCTTCCTGACAGTGAAATCTCCTAAATAGTGGAATAATTTGTCAAGAGAAGTAGTGGAAGCCCCTTTGATAGTTAATCTGAAACTAGAGTAGGCAAAATAACAGAAAACCTACCGTGGCAAAGTATTTGTGGATGTTTTTATGTTCACATCTGAAAGCTGTAAGTGTAATTGTTATTAAGCATACTAATGTTCATGTACCAGCATGTGGCTCTCTGTCTGCCTTGCCAGTATTACAGAAGCATGTGCTGTCAGTTACTTCTGTTACTTCAACCTCACTTTAAGGGGATGTCTACACTGCACCCTTCTTTCATTGGTGCGTAGTGTACCTATATGCGTAAGCCCATAGCACAGCTGCCAGTAGCAGTGTAGATGGTGAGGCACAGCTCAGACAAGTAAAGGCATGCTTGAACAATGTGCCTATGTCCCTGCACACATACCCTAATGGCTCTCTGCTCGCCCTAGCTCTGCCTCCACATCTACACTGCTAGTTTCAGTAGTGTAGTGTCCTGTTGCTTGCCCACTGCAGGAGCTTTTCCTCACCACAGGAAGAGACTCTGGCAGCAGGGAAAGGCTCAGGCAGGTTGAAAGACTCCAGCAGTGTTGAAAGGCTCTGGCAGGGGGCAGCCACCAGGGCTCAGGCAAAGGCTCTACCAGCTCCCTGCTGCTGGAGCCCTTCCCCCACCCCAGGGAAGACTCCAGCAACGCCCTGCCGGACTCTTTCTTTGCCACAGTGAAAGGCTCCAGCGGTGGAGAGCTGCTGAAGGTTTTCTCCACTGCCTACTCTCTGCTGGAGCCTTTCGTTAACACATGTAGCTACATACTGCAGTGTGGACCAACCCTGTTTTTCACTGTGCCATGTACACTGCACACCACCACCGGTGGCATGTTAATGCAGATATAGCTGCTAGGATATAAAGAGGTTTTCAAAGGCCTAGACTAACACACACATCCCCTTCAGCTTCATTTACTTCAAGGAAGTAATGCTGATTTACAGCAGCTAAGGATCTGGCCCATACTTTTGAAAACTAAGCCATTTAATTTTTGAAAAATGACACTGCCATTGTAGAGGTGGTGTTCTGTTTAATCCACACTATTCAAGAATATAGCAGGTTGCCCTCAATGTCCTGACTGAGACAAAGTAATGGCATTCTGTGGGTGAGATTGAGACATTCATATTTTTTTAAATCATAGACAGAGTCCAGTCGTGAAGACCAGTAGCAGAATAATGTGCTACTAAACAGGGATTGGGAAAATTGTGGGTGGCCCCATCTCATCTGAAGGCAAGCAGGGCCTAGCTCTTGGAGGGAGCTTCCCTCCTTTTGAGAGAAGACTGCTACAATACAGGACATTTGAGGGCAGGAAGTCAAAAACGGAAGGAGGCTTGGAAGAAGAGTTTAGAGGATTACTGTCCCGGGGAGGGGGGGAATTATGGTCAATAACTGCAGCGGTAGAAAAAATATATAATATAGCAGAGCTGCATAAAAGCTTTTTGTTTATTCCCCATAGAACACCACAATCATCCAGATTACAACAGTGCAGCACGAAATTGATCAACTGAAGAGAAAGTTGGATAATACAAAAATGAAACTCATAATCGAAATTAAGGTAATCTGCATTTTTTCTAGCCAACCTGGAAATTAAACAAATAGAGATTTTCTTCGCTATAAAATCTAGAGCCATAAAATATTTGAAATTTTTAAAAGTTAGGCAGTATTTGAGGAGATATTATGTTAAATGACCAACCTGCCTTACTCCACATCATGTAGCGATAAGTAGCATTCATAGTGTTTCCATTTTCCATGAACTGCATAAACTAAAGCCTTGTCTACACTGCACAGTTTTGTCAGCAAAACTCTACTGCTGTGCCAACAAAATAAAACCCCCTCGACAAGAGGCATAGAGCTTTTTGCGGCAAAGTTAAAACAACAAAGCATCAGTGTAGACACTGCTGTCTGTTATGTCACCATAACTGACCTCCCCCAGTATCCCACAATGTCCACCGTGACCGCTCTGCTCACTGTTTTGAACTCAGCTGCCTTGGCATGCAACCGCTCCCCTTTCAAAGCTCTGGGAAGTTCTGACAGCGGAGCATGCCGCTCTGCTCCAGCAGTAAAGAGCAAATCATTGCCATGGAATCCTGCTCTCTCCAGCACTAGGGTTATCAACTTTCTAAGCCCCAAAAACCAAGCACCCCTGCCCCACCCCTTCCCCTGCCTGTACCCCCACCCCTCCCTAATGCTCCACCCCCGCCCCATCGCTCACTACCCATCTCTCTGTAGGAGAAAGCTGACATAGTAGACAATATAGGCCATAGTTTGGAGACTCTGAGATTGACACATCCTCGTAGAGCCTTTCAGAAATGTCTGATGAAAACATGAGTAGCGTGATATGGAAGGCTACACCAGCCTAAGAGTTGTAAAGAACCAGCAGACTTAGATAAGCACAATAGAAAAATCTATAAATAAAAAAACACTGATGTCCATTGCTCACTAATGAAAGAAAGAGGATGCAGAGGTGGAATAAGCATCCCATAAAGTATTTTCAAATCTAAATCAATGACATTGAGGGCATTTTGGAAGGGCAAAGTAAAAAAGGGACCTGAGAAAGTTATTACTGCCTCACATTGTATCCAGACAGCAAATGAAGTGGAACAAAAGTTGAGTATTTGGGAAAACAAGCTCAAACACAGCTCTAGGACAGTAATTCATTATCCAGCCTTGTTTGTAAGACACCAGCTTCAGAAAGTGGAAGAAAAACATCTAATTATAGCTGTTGGAGATATATCCTTGATGTAGAGTCACATCTATGAGAGACTGACAGGAGTAAATTCACAGTTTTAAACATCCACAGGGTAACACGGTATTGACATCCTCAAAGGGTATAATGGAGCAGGCAACAACAGAGATGGGATAAGGGGGCTAGCAAACATTTATAAAGAAATGGAAAAAATTAGTATCATGGAAATCAGATGGTCTAACCTGAAGATAAAGAACAGAATGAAAACCCATGAGCGTTTAATTGTCTGACAAGGTCATTTTATTCACAGACCAGGTCTGGTCTAGACAACTGCAGTACAATACACATCTTTTCACACGAGCTTGGAGCCAGATTTTAATTTTAGTTATAGAGAAGTGAGTTCAGAGTATGACACTGAAATCAATGTGGATTGTACTGTTGCAACTAAAATAAGAATTTGTCCCTTTGCCTTATCATTTGCAGTGTGGGAGACAATTCTGTCCATTGCTAGCAAAATGGAAACGACTAGAAAACGTATTTCTAGAAGAGAAATATTGTCAGTTATACAAAGCAGTCCTGAGAGTCTTAGTCAGGCAAACCCTTACTGATGGCGATCGGAATTTGCCGAGTAAGGATTTCAGGATTTGACTTTTAAAGATGACACAACAAAGGAAACATGCAGAAAAGCAGGACTAGAACTGGATAGAATCAAAGCGTCCTGGAGATGAAAGGCACATTCTATATCCATCTAACCCACATAAAAGTTAAATCTTCAACTTCAAAATCTTCCTTAAATAATCTCTAGTTCTTTTGCAGATGAGAAAGCAGGCAGCCTCTGATTTACGAGCATTGAGAGCAGAGCTGGCACAGAAGAAAATTCAGTCATCTTTAATACTCCAGTCTGAAACACCAATATTTTAGAAGGATCACATTACTTGGGATTGTGTGATATATTTGTATCGAAGCTCAACATATCAGTAGTTGGTTTTATGTTCCTATGCTTTTATTGTACAGACTTCTCAATTTGTAAGATAGGATAATTGTATATGTTAAAATAGAGGTATATCATTTATTTAAAATGCCCTAAAATATCTCAAGCTAATAATTGTAACTTAGTTGTAATTCACTTATACTTATAAAAATATGCAGTTTAACCTATTAGCGTGTTTATTTTTGACTATAAGCTAATAAAATGTAAAGAAATGGCATTAATTTTTTTCAAATAGTGAATTATGTTTATTTTATACAATGAAGATCAATATGGAATTGTAATTTGAACTAGTATACCCATAGTTGTGGATAAAAATGTATATTTGGTCTTTTGAAGTACATATAGCTCAATCAGTTTAACCCACAAAATAGTCGGCAATTTTTACAGGACTGGGGCAGCAGAAATCTGATTTCAGATATCTACTCATTGTGCTTTGAAATTCAAGCATTGTAATCATAGCAGTCTTGTAGTTTCTTTTCCCTCTCTTAAGTGTAGCTGCACTGACAATCAAGTGCCCTTGTCCTAGCCATGAGGTTGTGAATATGATCACGGTCAGACTTATATGAAAGAAAATGTAGAGCATACAGTATTTATTAACCAAGTTCAGAGTGGAGGCAACAGGCATGTTCCTGTATGGAGTATCAGATCTCTGGAAGGGAAATAGTACCCCCTCCATGTTAACTTTTTCCATTCTCTCCTGCTTGCTTCCTCAGTTCCAAAGGGTATTATATCTAGCAAAGCAGGACGCTGCAAGAGGTTAATGTGAAGCGGCCACAAAACTGACAAGGCTATACTAAATTATTGCAAGTGACAGAAACAGACAGGATGTCAGTAATAGGATGTGAAAGTTCTTGCAACACTTTCAAAAGGAGGAACTCTAAATCTTGTGAGCTATACAACCTCTCTGTCTCCAATGTAATCCCTCTTTAAATCCTTCTATAAAGCTTTCCCAACAAATGAACCAACCCCTGTTCCACTTCAAGATTGGAACCTAAATCCTATGAATCTGAACTGTATTGTCTAGGACCAATTTAGATTTCAAACTCTAGAAGGAAGGGACTGTCTTTTCTGTTTATTCAGCATGGAAAACACTAACGGTATTTAATAAATAAGAGCAGAGGACTGGACTTTGGGTTCCAGTCACTGCTGTGATACAGAAAACTTGAAATTATAAATAGTTCAATTAAAATTCTAGTTGATGAAACAGATTCAAGTGTTTAATTTTTAAAGTTTTAACAAAAATTAGCAAATGAAATACACAGCAGCAGATGAAAAGAGATACCACAGATAGAAGGTGATCTAGTCCCTTTTGTTTTACAAGTATAAGGAATCCAGATCCAATCTGTGACCCCCTGAGGGCTGGAAGTTTAGAGTTATGGCTCTGCAGCAGCATCCCTTTTCCCCAGAAGCACTTCATGGGAATGTGGCTCAAAATGTTGGGAGGGGAGTGGACTGGATTGAGACAGTTCCCCAAAGCATTGTCTTTTCTCAGCCCCATAGAGATTCCCCATTCTCAGATACTGCTGAAATCCCTTCATAGGAGTCAGGTTTCACAGGGTTTTGAGGCAGGGCCAAAGGGTGAGTGGCTACAATATGTGATCATCTCCACAGCAGAGGACTGCTAAATGAATATCCACGCCCAAATTAACAGCTAACTCATGCTCCTTGCATGCACCTTCTTCAGGGAGGAAAGTTTTACACAAATGCAAGGTGTCTCCTCCCTGATGGCACACACTAAAGTAAACCAAGTCACCTCCACCCAGAGTTTCCTAGCCTCTGTAGTCCAAAAAGTCTCTCTCAATGTGATCACACCCTCTAATAATCTACAAGAATAAATGACAACATATTAAGAGGAAAAAGAGGGAAATGGTTATGTATTAAATAGTAGATTCAATCCAGTTCTGTAATGATTTCTTCTTTTACAGAAAAAAATCCTCAATCTAGCATTTATAGAAGTTATTTATTTGCTGGATGCTGGCTTAATATTCTTCAGTCCCTCAGATGAAGTCTAAAAGCAGTTAGATGGACATGCATACCAAACATCCAATTTACTTCTTAGTTTTCAGCACTCTACCAATGCTTACTTTGTGCATTTTCCTAATACAATTCTGCAGCAAGCAGTCCACACAAACCTGTTTAAGCTATACTGTGTTCAACAGTAAAGTTTTATACACCCCCAGCAGTGTCCATTTGCACTTCTCTAACAGTTATAAAACAGCTTTTAAAGGTTTTATGACTGACACTATGTTAAGCACTTTTCAACTAGTAGAGAAAGTACAGTAGAACCTCAGAGTTACAAATTGACCAGTCAACCACACACCTCATTTGGAACCAGAAGTATGCAATCAGGCAGCAGCAAAGACAAAAAAAAAAAAAAAACAAACACAGTACAGTACTGTGTTAAACATAAAGTACTAAAAAAAACAAAGGGGAAGTTTAAAAAAAGATTTGATAAGGGATCATTTGAATTAAGATGGTTAAAAGCAGCATTTTTCTTCTGCATAATAAAGTTTCAAAGCTATATGAAGTCAATTTTAAGTTGTAAAATTTTGAAAGAAAATCCATAATGTTTTGTTCAGTTATGAACATTTCAGAGTTATAAACAACCTCCACTCCCAAAGTGTTCATACCTCTGAGGGTCTACTGTAACATCAGTTGCAAGTTATAGCATAGTCAGGGCCTAACTTGACAATGTTAGGTATTTAAACCAAAATCCTGATTAAGGAGGGGGGAATGTCAGACTCCTATTAATTATTTCACTGTGTCCACAGATTCAATAAGACAACATTTAAAAAACAACACTTTTAGTATATCAACTTAAGTGCATACCTGAGTAGTCCCACTGACTTCAATGGGAATACTCAAAGCGTATAAAATTAAACAGATGCGTAAGTGTCCACAGGATATGGGCCTATCTTTGTAACAAATACACAGTAGGACTAGAAAACAGTTTTCTTTCTTCTTTCATTGCAGTATGTTCAAAGACAAACCACAGACTCAGAAGATTTGGATTACACCTCACTTTTAAAATGTTATATATAGAAAATCTCTCACACAGTTTAGTAGATCATTTATTTATGAAATAATCCTTGAAACATTAAAAAACAAATATTGTATTTTGCTTCTAGGAAGATGAAAGTGCCATGAATTGTTCTTTTGCCTCAGCCTTAATATTTCCTTTCCATTTTAACAAAACTTCACTGAAATATGCACGTGAGCACACACGCACACTCGCTCTCTATAAATGTTTCCAAACATCTTAATATTTCATTCAAAATTCCCCTGGCACAATGAATCATCATCAGAAAATATTAGGACTAACCTGAGATTCTCATTCTGAATATTTTCATATTTTATAAGCAACTAGAAATGAATATAGGGTCCTTTTATTCAGCCTGAGTTTTGTGTAAAGAAATGTGAAAAACACCATGCTAGATCAAGGAATCTATCCTCTTAGTTGTCAGGAATCACAGCACTTAAAGACGAAAACATCTATTAGATTATCCAATCCATTTCTCTACTGATACAGAATTGTTCTCTCCGCAAGATCTACATAAAATTGACCTAAAGACAGATTTTTTCAGGGTACCATGTTATAGCCAAATTCTAACCTCACTTTTATCCATACAACCCCTTTAACTTGAACACAAACATGATTTATCCACACAGACAAGATCAAACCACAATATAGCACAAATGAAGCACTAGCACGAATAAATACTGTGCCCCAAAACAGATTCGAATGAGTAGCTGGGCACCTTTTCTGCAAAAAAAGTGTTAAACTAGCCAATATGTGTGCATATGTTTCCCATAGCTAGTAGTACCAGTTACTGACATGAAGGATGAGGCGAATAAACCTCTACATACTTAGAGAACATCATCCATTCCTCTGATTTTGAATTAAAAGCACCATGTAGACTTTACACTAGCATCAGAAATTACAGCAGTATGGTGACTACAATTATCTAGTTCAAAAATGTAGACACTTAAAAATGCTAATTATGAAATCAATGTGTTCAGACAAGTCATAAGAAATGCTTATCATCATATACACTTTAGAATGTTGCTTTGAGAAAAATGGGCTTTCTTTGGCCAAGGTTTTCTGGCTTTTGAAGAAGTTGTAAAAAAAACCTCACAATGTTATGTAAACATAAAAAGAATATTTAATTCTTCAGTTTCACTGGCAACAAAGCTAAATGCTACAAATAATTAAAACCTTCTCAACCTTTACAGAATAAAGAACAGTAATTGGTTATGTTAAAGCATTTGTGTTGAGCAGAGCACCTCATTCTCATATGCTCTCTTTTAAATGGTTCAACATACATATGTTGTTAATATATATTATGAGCGTCAAGTTCAAGGTCTGATGCAGTTATGAAAGTTGTGAAAATGAGAATAACCAGAACCTGTTAAAACAGTGTTAATGCAATGTTAAATACTTTCTAAGGTATAAAGCACAGACTGACAAGATGAAGTTTTGCTTGTAACCAGTGCATGCTTGCAAGAAGGCATAAGACAGTATATTAGCCATAACAACTACCAATTAATTTTCTATATTCTAAATCCAGAGGTAGTGTTCACTATAGTTGCTATGGTCTCAAGGCTCGCCACATTGCTTCAGTCTGCTGCTCTGCTACAGAACTTCTGGAGTAGTCAAGACAATTTCCATTCCACATGCCAATACCCCTTAAACCACGTTTCTTTGCAAACGCTGCCTTCAGGGAAATGCTCTGCGGATTATCGTACCATACTTGATGAAAATGACCAAGAGAGTCCTATAAAAAGTTCATCGGACATTTGTGTTAGCATATATTAACACTGTATACAAAGAGGTCAAATGCAATGAATCAAAACTATAATTATAAATGAAGTAAAAACTCAGATGAATAAAATATGTACAGTGCTTTTGCAGACTTACATTTAAAAGCTCTACAAACAAGACAATCTAAAATTCCCTTTCCAAAAGTGCAAAGAAGCTACTTAAAAGGATGTGTGTGTGTGGTTTAAAACAAAAAAACAAAACAAAAAAACCCCACAACTCCAGCTATCTTTCTTCTACAATGCACAGACCAATAAACATCTCTGCTTTCTTACTAGTATTTTTCTCTGATCTCCAGACAAGCAACCACAAATGAGTTACAAAGAGGTTTGTATTAATTTTGGTTAAATGAGATGACTAGATCTGTGTGTATTTTATTGATAAATTTAATTTAAAAAGCTGATAATATCAAAGGCTTGGGCTAGGATTTCAATCGTGCAGTCTAATCTAGTAAATGAAATTCAGTCACAGAGTATGTGTTTTTGTTCCTAGCAATAAACATAGGTTTAGAGAAAGTTATGGAATTTTGCTAAATAAAAATTATATTGCTTTCAGCTGGTGATGACTTTTAAGAGCTTTTAGTCAGTCATCAGTGCACTAAAGTTATACAAAATTTAATACCAGGTAACTGACAATCCATCACCGAAGGAACCATAAGAAATATTTACAGCTTTATAAGTGCACACCAATAATATATGGGCTCAGTCTTCCACTGCATCCAGATGGAGTTTGGACACAGTGAAGAGGGGACGCCAAAGGGAGACAGTTGCAGCTCCCTGATCTTGTGCCACCCAGCACCAGCCGCAATTAAGAGCGGCTGGGATCCTGTTTTAACTTACATCACTGGCATAAGGTTCCTTAGGGGCCTTATGACAAGGGAGGATGGGCATAGTGGAACTCTGTCCTACCAAACCCCCTTCCTGGCATCATATGCATCCTCCCTCTCAATGAAGAGGTGGGAGGCTAGTGCAGGAGCCAGCTCTGCCACTTTTGCCAGCATTATGCCAATGGAGTGTTCCCCTGCACAAGTTAAGCTGGAATCCATCCACTCTGCAACACATAAGCATCCAAAGTGGATAGATCACACCTGAGAATCTAGCTTTTATGAGAACAGAACTAAGGTTCATGTACATTTAGTCCACAGCTCAAATGTTTGTCTAGGAAACTGCTTACCTTATATTCATAATATGGAGCCTTCTGCTCCTCATCCCACAGGCTCCCAGAAATAGAACTATTCACCTGCTTCATTATTGTTCCATAGGTGACCTGACGCCCTGCAGCATCACTGCATGGAGCCCCTCGGAAAGGAATATTTGGGAGGGAACAAACATGATCCTGAAAAAACAGGGAGTTCTGGTTCATGTTTCTTGGATTTATTAAACCCTTCAGAAGGGATAAGCCTGGAAGAAAGTCAGAAAGAGGCACCTGCCAAAAATAACTAAATATTCACACCAGATATGGATTACTATCTGTTTCAATAAAATGTAGAGAAAGAAGTTCAATTGAAGTTCAATTTCATTTAACTGAAATGAGTAACTTCCAGCTCCTCATACTGGTCTACTGTAGGAAACAACACTAATATTCACTTTATATTATTTGTGTAATAAAATAAAATAATTAATTAAATAAATACATAACAAAACTCCTCAATAATATTTTGTACTTGTAGCCCCCTTGCTAATTTGGGGGTTTCAGAGAAAGAGGAGCAGAGGCACAGACTAGATCTTCAACTGACAGTGCTTGACTCACCTATGCTTGAGCCCCAGTGTCTGTAGGGGCTGGCCCAGGAACCTGACTGACATGCCTGGACAATCAACTGCAGGTCCCAGAGAGCCTTCATATGCCTGGACCACATGACTGAGCATGGCAGGGACCATGTGAGGAGGGAGAGCTGATTTCAGGAAGTCATGTTGGAAGAGAAGCAGCCTCAAGAGAGCGTCTCTCTGCAGTAGAAGGGGAGATGGCTATTTTGACTCTCCCTATCAGAGGGCCTGAGACTGACCTGGAGCCCCTAGCTCCAACAACAGAGAGACCAATTCCAAGATTCTGCTGCACCAGTGAGCACTGAAAGCCAGCAGAACACAACAGTCAGGGCTCAAGGCCACCAGGGACTCCATTCAACTGAAAGGCAGGACTATCAGTTTCCCAGGAATGGATACCAGCCATCCACATCAAACTCCAGTCCCTCCACCCCCAAGATAAGGCCTCTAAGGAGCACTGGTGGTGGCGGGGGAAGAGGGAATTGTCATATCAATTTAGTTTGTGGGCTTTTATTTGCAGGATTTGGGTTATTATTTAACGTCTTTGATTCCTTTTCCTGTTGTCTTCCCCTTCCTTTTAATTTACCGCTATCCTTTTCAGGAATTAAATGCTATTTATGTAATTCCTTGATTTATTGTACCCATAAATTATAATGTCCTAGAGGTCACAGGGTTGATTACGGATTTACGCACCTGGACACAGGATGGAGGCACCAAGCACTAAGAACTCAGGAACCACTGGTCCTAAAGGGGGTCACCAAATCCCTGTAGAGGGATAAGAGGCTCCACTACCTTCAGAAGGGATCAGGCTGCCCCACAAGAGGGAGCTACATACTTATATAGCTCTTTTCATCCAAAGATTTCAAAGCACTTTTGGGTATCCAAGTATCATCATCTTAATTTTACAGAGGAGGAAAGGGAGGCACAGAGGTAGAATGACTTGCCTGGCATCACACAGTAAGTTACTGGCAGAACCAACTAGAACACGGATATCTTAAGTCCCTGTCCTGTGCTCTTATCTTAGAGACCACACAGTTTTTGCACTTCCTAACTGTAAAAAAAAAAAAACCACAAAAAATAAATTAAAAAAACCCTACCAAAACTTATATAGCATATCATAGAAAAAAAAATATCAAAAACACAGCTATGATAGAACTGCCTTAATCTTACCTTAGACAAATCCAGACATCTATAATCATAGCCATACCAGGGAACACCCATCACAAGCTTCTTTGGCTCAATGCTCATGTTAATGTAATCATCATATCCTAATTTAAAAGAAAATATGAATTTACATGCATACTTCTTTTTTCTGCTGTATATATTTACTAACTTGCCAATGTAATATAAGGTAATGAAGTTAATGCAAATCCATAAGGGTTTATGGAAAACAGACCCTGTCAAACAAACTTGATATCTTTTTTGATGAGATTACCAGTTTGGTTGATAAAAGATAACAGTGTTGTCATAAGACTTCGGTAAGGTGTGTCACTTGATATATACCACATTTTGATAAAACACCCAGAATGATATAAAATTAACATGGCACACATTAAATGGATTAAAAACTTGCTAACTGATAGGTATTAAAAATGCGTAACTACACATGGGAAATCGCTTTGGAGTTGGTCTGTCTCCAGTGGGGTTCTGCAGGGATTGTTTCTTAGCCCTACACTAAGAACATAACTGTTTACCATTTTTACCAATGACCTGGAAGAAAACATACCATCATAAATGATAAAGTTTACAGATGACACAAAAATTAAGGGAAACAGTAATGAAGGAGGACAGATCACTGATTCAGAGCAATCTGAAACGTTTGGTAAACTATGCACAAGCAAACGGTGTGTGTTAATACAGATAAATGTAAATGTATACATCTAGGAACTAACAATGCAGGCCACACTTACAGGACAGGGGACTCTATTCCGGAAGGCAGTGACTTTGAAAAAGATTTGGGGGTCATGGTGGATAATCAGCTCAATATGAGCTCCTAATGTGACGCTGTGACCAAAAGAGCTAATGTGATCCTGAGATGCATAAAAAGGAGAATCTCAAGTAGAAATAGAAAGGCTATTTTACCTCTATATTTGGCAATCATGTAACTGCTGCTGGAATACTATGTCCAATTCTGGTGCCCACAACTGAAGAAAGATATTGATAAATTGCAGAGGGTTCAGAGAAGAGCCATGAGAATGATTAAAAGATTAGAAAAAAATAGTGATAAACTTATAGTGATAGACTGAGCTCCGAAGAGAAGGTTAAGTGGTGACTTCACAACGGTCCGTTAAGTATCTACATGGGGAACAAATATTTGATAATAGATTCTTCAAACTAGCAGAGAAAGGTATAACACGATCCAATAGCTTAAAGTTGAAGCAAGACAAATTCAGACTAGAAATAAGGCATAATTTATTTATTTATTTATTTATTTTTTAAACAGCAAGAATAACTAACCACTGGAACAATTTACCAAGGGTCTCCATTGCTGATAATTTTAAAATTAAGACTGGATGTTTTTCTTAAAGATACGTTCCAGTCATTACTCTGGGGAAGTTATATGGCCTGTGTGATACAGGAGGTCATAATGATCCCTTCTGGCCTTAGAATCTATACCTAGAGCAGATTTCTCAACACTAATGAAGCAAAGGTTATCAAGGCAGATAAATACATCTACAACCCTCTTTCCAATGTAATTCCTTTGGTATAACATCCTTTTACTGTTTGATCTACAATATGATTAATTTATTAATAAAGAAATCATATAAAATTAAGTACTAAAAAGACTCAAGTATTAACTATCTGCAAGACATTAGGAAGCTCCAGGGAAGTGCACCAATTAGCTTTCACAGCCATGCTTTCATATGATACCCTGGCCAGCGAGGAAAAACAAAGGGCGTTTCAGTATATGCAGAAAGCTGCCAACATTATTGAAATATGAATTCTAAATACAAGAAAGTTCTACATGATGCACAGAAAGGAAAGATAAAGTTTAACAGCAGAATAAAGCAGTTCAAGATGTTTCAGTAGCTGACAACCTGAGCAGTTGTAGGGTGACAAACTGTATGAGCCATTAAGCTGATGTGGAACCCTGCACATTTAAATCATTTTCAGTCAAGAAAGAAGTTAAATGGGTGCAGGTGCAGCCTTAGGTAGGTGCCATTTGTGCCTATGCCCTAATCCAACTCTTGCCCATGGGTGTACCTGAATCCCACTGAGGGTGACATATAGAATTCAGGTGTCAAATAGCACATGACTGCTCTATGTCCATCCATGGTGCCACAAAAATCTGAGGTACCTATTCCCTCAATGTGAAAACAGTTCTCTTAGTAGATTTTAGTAATATCAAAGGCTTCAAGAAAACAAATAATGCAATCAAAAGGCATTTAATATATTTTAGGAAAAAGGTGTCCTCTTCCAATAATGCATTTTAAAAGAGAAATGTGCCAGCTGCTAACATTATTGACTGATTCTTACCATCTAAGGTCTGACTGTAGGGAGCATTGGCTCTTGCAATACATCCTGTCCAGACCTGACTCTGCTCATCATAAGACATCACGAACAAGAAATCACAGGCATCTGCAATCCCACTGTAGTTGTAGCATCTTTTGTCTATGCATGCTGGAGACCAAGCCACATCAAAGGTGACCTGACAGACAAAACCACAACTTTAAATCTAGTGTGGAATTCATATATTTTATTGCTTTGCTGTTTTGTAAAGCAGAGCTATGTAAACTTTAGTGGGATGTTTTCAAAATGCTGCGCTGTTCGATACCCATGGATTGTAAGAGGAACTGTAATATTTCTGAGTTTTCAGAGCAAATCTGCCTTTACAACTATAAAATTAATATGCATAAAAGGAGCACAGTCAAGACTAGTGGGCCCAAAATCTGATTCACCTTTTTTAAAAATATGTCTGCAAAGTCTTCTGTGTGTGTGTGTAATTTAATACACACACAAAAATAGAATTACGAACTATGACCAATGATAATCTATTTAAGAACATGACAGAGAACAGGCAAAGGATAAAGATAAATCTTTTCAAAGGAAATCTTTAACATCTTTGATTCCTTTGCCTGTTAAATCCTGCTAAAGATTTATCAAGTTTTTCCTCACATCATGCTGAAATTATCAGTATTTTCAAAGTTTCATTAAGTCATACCAACAACAACATAAAAGTGATTTACCTTTGGCAGCCAATACACCAAAAAGGTCTATAATGAAAATACTGTCAATCCCAGCAAAATTGCTTCTATTTTAATATTTGAGTTCCTTAAAGGATGCATTTTCAATTATCCTTCAGAGAAAAAGAATACAGCCATTTTTGTTCTGTTTGTACAACACCTAGCTCAATAAGGAGCTTATATATGACCATAATAATATATATAATACAATGTACACTTGGGAAACAGTGCCAGTGGCTTGCACAGAATTTTACAGACAAGTGCTCTTTACATTATGGAATAAATTGCGAGGACATCACAGATTTAAAATCTATCATTTTATAAAATAAATTTTGTTTTCACCTGTGATCCTGGAATTTCTCTATGAAAAGCATCAGTAGTTTCTTTAACCAGAGCCGTTAATGCATAGTATTCAGGTGACATCTCACGAACTTCTTGCTCTATGTCTATATTAATTCCATCCATATACTGCTTTTTGGCCAGGTCCACCTGTTGAGCTATCCAGGCTGTTCTGTTAGCAGAGTCAATAATTTCCTTCACAGGTACATCTCCTAAACAAGAAATCTTAATAAATTACCACTTATTTGAATAATGGTAGATATTGGGGCTGGGGGGGAATCCTATTCTGCCATATACTTCATTTCCATGCTCCATGTGGACTGTATAGTGGAGACCAATTCAAGTGTGGGGTAGTTTGGTATTTTTTTGGTACAGTTTCCTTGGGAGATCATACTATGCTGTGAGATTATTCCTGAATTTTTCTTTGTAGTTTCATCCCACTACTTCTGGTTATTCCTTCTTTAGCCACTGTGAACAATTGCTCTCCCTTCCTCGAAGCCAACACCTTTCTGATACTTCCAGACATAGTGACACACGCTTCTTGTTTCTTTTAACCTTTCCTCTTAAGCGATCCCTCTTTCTTCCCATATCTTTGTTGCCTTTCTGTCTTTTTTGTAATGAGAAGTCCAGAACTCTGTGTACAACCTGTAAGTGTGGCCACAAATGAAGGATTTCATATATAAAATAAACCCCAAATATGAACAGCATTTTCAGCCTCATAGGTATTACACTTTTTTTTTTAAACATTTAATACTTTACACACTCCTTCCTCCTAGTATATATTTGGGGCTATTCTTGTCCAAGAACCTTTAAGATTGATTATAGCTCTTTAATTCAACATTTGTTTTTTAAGTATTATACAAACACATGGAGCAGAGACCTGGCACAGGTCCTGCCTATGCTTTTCCTCTTCCCATTTCTTCCTCTCCATTCCCACGTGACTTCTACTGGTCTCTTTCCCAGTAGATCCTTTATTTTGCTGACACTGAAGTAGTTTTGTTACTATTGGGGCAGAAAGAATTGGAGTTTTGCCTGTTTTATACTTTTTTTAAAAATTCTGGGTGGTAGTGTATTATGGCCCTTTGCAAAAGGAGGTATATTATTCCCTTATAAATTTAATACATAAATGCCCACATTTCCCTAACTGTAACCAACCTTTTAGTACTACCCTGGCTCCTTTAGAATGAGCATAACACAATAGCTCAGGGTCATACTTTCCAAAAGCTGCCACAGTTGTAATCTGTGACCAATCATAGAACTTCCAAGATTTTCTTCCAACATCAAACACAAAGACCTGCAAAAGCAGAACAAAAAGTAAGCGACTGGAAGCACACCAAATGTCAAACTCTCATGACAGTTTAATTTAAATTAGAGCTGCGTCATTCCTTTCCCTTGCATCCCAAATACATTCTAGGTAGAGTAAAAAGTTAAATTATTCATGCTTCTTGAAAGCCAGCTTGTCCTTTACAGATCTAGTGCCTGCCAAATTCAATAGCTGACTGGTCTCAAAACGCAAACAAACTGGCAGGAGCTTTGACAGGATTCAACATCATTTCCCAGTAATTCATGCTGACCCAGTTTATACATTTTTTGTCAAACAGAAGCTGCCAGATCAAATAAACCTACCCTAACTGATTAGATTCATTTAAACAGTTTGCTAATGAACTAATTTAGACTCATTTAAAACTTCAGGAAGGTCGTCGTGGATTACAACTCATTTTATTCTATTAAAAACAAGACTGTTTTGATTTAATGGGCTGGATTTTGTAAGAGGTTGAATAAATCATCCCCGTAATTTAACAGTAGACCAACATTTGAGGGTCTACTCTAATCAATTTTCAAAGTTTCATATGTAAAGTTGTAATGACCAGAAAGATACATCAGAGCCCAAAAAAGAGAAGCAACCGATTAGCCATGAACACCTGAGTAATAAAGACAACAAAATAGCTCACTCCCCAACTCGAGCTTCTGCCTTAAGAGGAGTCACAATTCATATGTACTTTAGCCTCAACTTTTCAGCTCGCTGGCACTGCCAGGGTGGTACACAGAGTCCCCGGCCATAACCGACCCCTTAAAAGGACAGTCAAATGCCCTGGAAGAGCTGCGGCCGGCGGGACTTTGCTTCGAAGGCGCCAGCCCGCCCATGTCTCCAAGCCCTGACGAGCCATTGCGGGAGCTGGCTGGGGCAGGCGGGCGGTGCTCAGGAGCCCCTCCCAGCCCCTCCGTAGCCATGCGACACGCCGCGGTGCTGAGGGCTCGCAGGCAGCCCGCGTGGGAGGGGTCTGGCGGTGGGGCTGGGGCGGACCCGGAGCGAATCCGAGACTCTCCGCCAGGGAATGGGGCGGCAAGGACGGCACGACGCCGCCCGCCAGGCCCATGCATCGGGGGTGGCACGGGGCAGCCCGTAGAGCGGCTGTAGGCCCCAGCCAGGGCCAGGCCACTGCACTGTGGCCCGGGACCGGCAGGCGCCAGGGTGGGAGGCGAGAAGGGCCGCACCGGTGAGCTGAGGAGGCTGAGGCGCGCAGCGCGGACCGGACGCGAGGCCCTCTGGGGGAGGCCGCAGGGCCTCGAGACGGGCAGCCCCGTTCCCAATCCCAGAGCCCCTTGCGGCGCTCGGTGACGGGATACCTCGAACTCCCGGGCGCCGGCGATGGGGCGACAGAGCGCGGGCTCGCGACAGGGGCACGCGCCGCTGCTCCAGCCCAGGCGCAGGAGCGCGAGAAGGAGAACAGGGCAGCCGCGGGACGTGCACGCGCCGGCCCGCAACAGCCGCTTCATGCTGAGCACTCTCGCTACGTCACCCTTCCCTGATCCGGGCACGCGGCAGCCGCTGCCGCTGCCGCGTCTCACCTGGGAGCCGCGCTTCCGCCTCGACTCCCGCTACGGGAACGGGAGCGGGCCAATCCTCCCGCTCTCGCTGCTGGCCACGCCCCCAGCAGCGCCAGGGGTCCCAGGCAACCCGGCGCCGCCCGCTGGGGACTCGGGCTGACGAGACGGGGCGACACCGGCAGCTCTAGGGCTGCTTGGGAGGGGAGGCAGCCCGAGTCCGGGCTTCGGCTGGAAGCGCGCTGGGGGCGGGTTGTGGGGGAAGCCAGGCTCCCCGCCCCCTAGCGCTCAGCCCGGCCCGGAGCGGGGCGGGGCGGCAGGGCGTGTAAATACCGCCCGGGGCCTGGAGACTCAGGGCCGGCCCGTCCGTGACCGACAGCGAGCCCCGCCCTCCTGCGGACCACGTGCCGCTCGCCAGGCCCCCGCCGGCCCAGTGAGCGGCGCTAGAGGTGGGAGCCTGGAGGCCCTTGTGCCTCTGCCAGAGTGTGGCCCGTTATTTCCCCCGCCCCCTTTTAACAGCTGGAGAAACTGAGGCAAAGGGAGCAAGTAGTTTGGCAAAAGGCTCCAGAGAAAGTAGGCGAGAGGGCCACCCCTGGACGGGCTCTCAGCTGTCGCCCGCTCCCTGCTGCCCCCGTCCTTGGTGCCTGGCAATACTGGAGCTGGAGGTATGCCAGGGGGAATCAGGCCCCACGGAGCATTTACTCTAACATAGCCTCGGACTTTGGCTACGTCAGTTATTGGTACCCAAGAGGTCCAGGCCTGCTTTTTACAGGCACTGAAAATATGTAACACAAATGTAAGCCCATAGGAACTGCATGTGCTTAGCACTGATGAAAATGAAGCCTTGGGGTGTGTAAAATTGATTATCCTAAACCTGGGACACACAAAATAGGCTCCAGTCCTGCGATGGGCACTGCATGAGTAGGTGCCTGCACAGTGCCAGTTGCAGGATTGGGCCCTGGAGGCAACTTTTAAAAGTGTAGCTTTACATGACGGCTGAAGGTTGCTGCATAGCGCAATAATATAATGAAGCGTTTTATTTCTCTGTGACAAAATAATTATGTGTAGTCAAAAAATAAACCTGAACAACTGTTTAATTTAAAGTACAAATATTTATTAAGGGTAACCAGAATTGTTTTCAAAATTTTAAAATATTACATTGAGAAATCATTTTATAAAATAATTCAGTGTTACCTTCACTGTCTGAAACAAAGTAGTGTGTCCATAATTGCAGAGAACGAGTATACATATATCAAAAAAAAAACCACCATTAGGGGTATCTAACCCTGTGAAATGTAGTGTCATGCTGCACACTGTAGTTGTTCACAGGAACACATTGTATGAGCATCAACTGTGTTCTCCAAATCCTCAGACTTCTGGTCTAACCTAATCTGCTCTTCATCAAAGCTGGTTGTGGAGTCTGAAAATAAGAAAATGGGGGGAGGGGAAGTGATGCGAAAGTTATTTGTATACTTTCCCTGGACTCAAATGTGCGAATTCAAATGGATTATCCATGATTATACAGTTTCAAAATCTGCATTTTGATTACTTGAAGAGTAAAGCAAACATCTCAAAACCCTAGGCCAAAGCAATAAAAAACTAAAAAAAAGTTGTAGGAACCAGTCTTTATGCAGGTCCAACTCCCACTGAACTCAATGAGAGTTTTGAATGCAGAAAGACTCCAGGGTCAAGCTTGTCATTTTAATGAGCATCATTATTTGGAATCTTATTTTTTTAAGACAATACACTTTTAAAAATCATTTAGGCTAGCTTCTCCTACCCTTACCCATGTTGAAGTAACATTGCTCTGCAAGTAGACTTTACTGCTTTTTTATTCCTCCCAAAATTTAGGGTTTGGGGGTATTTGGGGCTTTTTTCACATTAGAAATAACACATCCTCTCTTCTTTGTGCTGAAGATTCTTGGTAAACTCTTTGAACAACATGAATAACAGTGTCAAAGGAGGCTGTAGCCTGGACTGATGCACTTCCTCCCATAGCTGATGGGACAGGGAATGCTAAGTCTTCATAGAGTCTAACAATTGGACATCCATGATACAGCTCCTGAAAAAGTATGGAGTTTTGAGACTTACCAGCTGGCACACAATGGAAACCAACAAAGACAGGGGCAGTTCTAGTTGCTGAACATCCTTTCACACAGCGCAAAACTGGCTCGACTGAATAGCATTTTGAGGCCACGTTTTCAAAACCAACTGGCTTCTCAATTTTGATGAGTGTGTGCTGCAGTTTACAAGCTACAAGAAGTCAAATAATTGGATTTTAAAACATAAGCTCTAGAAAGCATATACATTTCCTCAACTACAACTGAGCATTACACAGAGGAATCAGTGAAATCAAAGAGATCTAAACAAACTAGATCAGTGATAAATAATATTTTAAATTTGCTCCCATTGAAGTTGATGGGAGTTTTACCATTGATTTCAGGAGGAGGAGGATCAGGCACTAAATTCTGCCCTGAAGAATGCCAATGGGATAACAACTACATGTCTGTAACAAGAGGCATCCTGCAGTAACAGGCCAAGACAGCTCAGGGCAGGTGTTATGCTTTGCAGAGTAGGGTTGCTCCTTTGTGCAAGTGTGATGCACATGCCTGACCTGCTCCTGGCAACATGGACGGACTACATGCTGCTCAACTTGGGGCACAATTACATTCCTTTTCTTCCATGTCACATCACACTGCCTTTGGCCATCGAGGGCATTCTGACTTCTTACAGGGTGTAGCTGCTAATACGTTTTTGTACATCATGGCAAGATGTCATGTGCCCCCACCCTCTATCCATTAAAATGTTGTCCCTCTATAGCTCCTAATCAGTTTAGTGTAATTAGGAGAGAGAAACTTTATATTTTTGATAGACAATAAAAACATGAAAGTAGCAGAATACAAATCAGCAATGAAGATATGTCCAATAAAATGCCTTTAAAGAATATCTGTTTTTCATAGGCATTTACTGGTCCTTACCTGACTTACATTGCAAAAAGTCATTTTTGTGTTTATATGATTTAGCACACACACATCCCTCATGTAGATGCATGATAAAACATTAACCTGGTATAACAATGCAACAACACAAGACCTTGCAATAAACTACCAATCTCAAGAAAATGTACTTTCTTTTATCTGTGAGCACCAATCACATTGATAGTGAAAAGCATGCACTCGTAGCAGATTGTCAGGTACTCTATTGTCCACCTCTGCTTTAGAACTTGGATCCAGTATAGCACATATATCTAAATATTGTAGCTGTTCTTGAAGCTATTCACTTGTGACTCATGGTAATAGCACAAATATATTTTAGAATCTTCATACCTCCAGCACAGGGCTCTTCTGAGAGAATCCAAGAATGAGCAAAGCTCACTGCATCTTTAGCCACATAGCCACTAGGCATTTGATATTTCTGTTTACTCTCGCCATCATATTTTCCACAAATACCACATGTTTTTCCAGCCATCCAGAAACCTACTTGAATCTGTATGAAAACAAAGGAAAGGTCAATTTAAATGTTTATTTTATAAAAACAAAAACACTAACAGTGAAGAAAAATGTACTGTACCTTAAGTGTATGTCCATCATAATAAAGTTTATCTATGCCATACTCTGGGGCTTTTACTGACAAGCCGTCCTTCTCACTGCTGATCAGTATGTATGCATCTGCAACATAATAGCAAATTGATCTTTCTTTGAAGGCAAAAGTCACTCTTTTAGAGCCTGATCCAACTCCCATTTAAGGAAGAGTCTCCTGTTAACTTCAATGGCATTTGGATCAGGCTCTTAAATTGACAAATCTCTAAAACCTCAATCCTGAAATCAGATTGGCAAATGAGTACCTCAGCTCCTGTACAAAACCCCAAAGAAGTAAAGGTGCCAAATTAATATTGTTTTGTTAAGCTCTGATCCTGCAAGCAGGTCCAATGAGGGTCTTTGTCAAGGGAATAACACAGTAATTATTACATATTAAATCAATTTGAGAATAGCTGTTTATAAAATATACACCGAATACAGTCAATCTGTACAATTCCTATAGTGATGACAGTTGTCTATGGAGAGGAATGGCATGCCCTAACATTGTTCTGGCTGCATGCCACAGAAAGAAGCAAATTTTTTAATATAATTTGTGGGAAATAATTTTTAAAACACCAATACGATCCATTTTAACTGTTTAAGTGAGCCATTATTTGTTTCAAACAAACAAACAAACAAACAAACAAACAAACACCCCCAAATCAGAAAACATAAATATTGGAAACTATAATAAAAAATATGGGATCAGATTGTGCCAATTGCCTAAAGTCCAGGCATGCAGAACAGGAATGGGGCACAATTAAAAATGACCGCTGCTCTGGCAGAATCCCAGAGACACTTGGCAACACCTCCCCACCCCACACGGTGGCCAATATGTTAGCCAAGATGCTGCAATACTGTAGCTGCTGTAACTCCATTGCTCCATTTCGACAAATAGAGCTGGGCTAATTTTTTGTACAAAAAACTTTTGGGGCAAAAAAATGCAGATTTGGCTTCACCAAAACATTTAACAAATCCATGTCAGTTTTGCCAAACTGTTTTGGTCAGGAAAAAAAGTAAAGAAAAAAATCAAAACGTTTGGTTTCAACATTTTCAAAATGAAATGTTTTATTTAAAATGACTTTTTGAATCAAAATCTTCAATTTTCATTTAAAAAAATCAATAATGTTTACAAATGCTTAAAACCTTTTCATTTTGGGTGGAATGAAAAGTTTCATTTTACCCAAACAATATATTTATGTTTTTGAATAAACTCGGGATGCAAGATTATGCAGATCCAGTGTCCCTGTTTTTTGCCCATCTTTTTTGCTGCCCTCCAAAACAGTCTTGGTGGAGCCAGTGCAAAGAATCATAGTGTGGCATGCAGACGGTGCACAGGCCACCCTGTACACATTCCTCTGTCATGGTCTGTCTGTTCCTTGCCTACTGCCAATGGAATTCTTAAGTAGTGCCGAGGGCCTTAGTCAGGCTCTCTAGATCAGGGTGAATTTTATCCTGAGAGAGTTCTGCAGAACCACGCTCTTAAATATTATTCCCCAGCCACAAGTCTGATAATATTGTTGGGTTTTAATTAAAATACTGCTGCTACATTTATGGGGCTGACCTGCCTGGTGTGGTTCTCCCTCTTTCTTCTTCAAATATATAGCAGGAAAGATTAAATGCAATATAAAATATTCTGTGTCACGTACCAGAATTAGATGTGTATGGGAGAATCTGTGCTGGGGTGTGAACACCATTAATCATCAGCTGGATGAGTCCATTTGAAGGATACATGT